CTAAGCCTAAGCCTAAGCCTAAGCCTAAGCCTAAGCCTAAGCCTAAGCCTAAGCCTAAGCCTAAGCCTAAGCCTAAGCCTAAGCCTAACCCAAAAAACATTATGAAGATGTTTATTCAAAATATGTGAACAAAATTTAGGCTAAATTTTTGTGGTGATGATCAAAATGGTTCTTAATGAAAGTTTGAATGAAATAGTAACTGTGATCATATCCATCAGCAAGTTCCAGTTGCACCTTAGCATGTTCATTTGATTGCAAAGTCTGCGGCTTGAGTTGATCAAGGAAGTTATCACTTGTTCCCTAAATGACTTTCATTGAAGATTTCACTCATTCATGAAGTATTACTTGATGGACTAGAATATCTCTCTGTTCTCCTTTGTAATTTTTCAGGACCTCACTAGCATCATACTTTTGCCATTCTTCCGCATTGCTTCCTGAATCATACGGTAAACAGAGAAACAGGATGTAGAGATACCCAAATATCCAGAAAAAGCTTTTTGGCCCCATGGGCATGAAGTTGGGTTGCTAATCGGAGCAAAAGCTGATATGGATCGGAAAATTGTAGGGTTTCTTAAGCCAATAACCAAAGCACCATGTCCTCCCATGGAATGACCGAATATTCCTAGAATATTCAATCACATATTACTAATTATTGAAGAGGAACAACCAAGTTTATTTCTGTTCATAGGTAACAGTTTTGAACAGGTGTCAAGAAGATCTTTCGTAACGTACGAGTACATATTGTAGTTGGTACTCCATGGCTCTACTAGAGCGTCAACATAGAAGCCGGCTCCTAAGTTGCAGTATGAATTTTAGTTATGACAGAATGGAAAACCTTTCCCGAAATCCCAGCTTCCTGTATCATCAGGTATATCATCCCCTCTGGGAGAAGTATCTGGGTGAATAACAACCATTCTATACTCGCTCGCATAACGCTGCATGCCAGATTTCTCCATGAAGTTGGCATGTGTACATGTTAAACCTTGAGGACGAAACATAGGTAAACTTAAATTGCAATACCGGAAAGATAAACAAGCGTAGTAAGTTGTTCTTCAGGTTCATGATCTGGTACATAAGCACCAAATGTCATTTCACATTTCAGGGAGTCACTTGAATTCTAATTAAATCTCGCGTTCATCATTCAGTATCACACCTGGTATGTTTGAAAACAAATTGCTCTCCCTTGAAGGCTCGAACTCGTGATATAACAGACATAGTTTTCCTACAAAAACAAGCATTTAAAAAAAAAAGTATTTATATTGTCTAAGAGAAGTAAAGGCATAAATGAACGTCTGTAAAACGTTTGAGAGCTATCTAAGTTCAAAGTTGCTTGGTGTGCAGTTTTATTAATCAATAGTCTATATAGTCTTGGTATTGATTATCAGACCATGCATCTCTCCAATTTCCTTCTTTAACGCGTCTGAACAAAAAGAGTTTTTCTATCAACTTGTTTATATAACCTGTAACTAAACGATGTTGAGCAACTTTAGTGAGACCCGTGAATGCTCCTGCCTTAATTTCTACCGAGTACATCGAACCGCATCCATCTAAAGCAATTTAATAAACGTAAAGTGAAATTGTTCGCTATCTACTTGAGATATCCTGAACCATTACAAATTGCACTTCTTTGATTTTCTCCTTGAGGATACCAGCCATTCTCTTTTCTGACTCGCTAACAGCAGTCGAAAACATGCGTTGGAATGCGCGACCAACGAGCAGCATCTAATATATCATTAAATCCCGATCATTTTCGAAGAATAAGTAACATAGAGAGAATCTCCGAGTTTTCCATGTACAAAATTTACTAACAAAATGCGTTTATTAAAAAAAGACTAGTTTTGTTGATTGTCAGTAGAGCTGAAGAACTTCAAATGTTGTTCTAAAGCGTATTGCATAGCCCAAATGCACAACGGCCGCATGTAGCCGATAGCCCTATAATATCTGCAAAGGAACAAAAAGAGTTTAGCAAAACATTATTTCGCAACTTTGTCTCATAAACAGCTTCAGGTGTTTGATATTGAAGTCCGGATTTTTCGAAGCAAACGTCATAGCATCCTGATGCGGTGTGGAACGCTTTATTCACTTCCCCATGTTGTAACAGAAAAGCCGATAATGCGTAAGTTACACCTGTCCACATCTCGTCCGCCTAATTTAATTTGATTAGATTTTCAACTGTCAAAGTATAAACTTGAATGTAAAACCTATCCACTTCACCGTTTGGTCTCATTCCATTCACGGCTCCCATATTTCCACCTCCGAAACGACAGACGTTGAACGAATAGATCTTGTTTAGAGAGGAAATAATCATATTACTAGGTAAAATCTATAAGCCGAGATAAACAATGATCACAAGATTGCAATGAAAACCTCTCTAGCGAGTTCTGGAGACACCGAGTCAAGAAACCAGATTCCACAGAGTTGATCGGCCATAATAGTTTCTCGACTCCTCGATTTCTCACAGAATCTAAAATAGTCGCCTGTCCATAACTTACGCTTGAACACCTAAAAAATCAGAAGATATTTCTCATGAAATATTAGGTTTCCTACTTCTTGTGCATTTTCCAAAACTTGAGTGAACTGTAAAGCAGCCTGAGAATCTTCGACCATTTTGGCCATTTCAATAGACACTCGCAAAGCTGCAAGCCAAAGCGAACCGCAATAAGCACTTTAATTTTCCAATTTGAAAAAAAAATTAGAGTGAGACACAAACCTCACACCCTCCATTTGCCAAGCATCATAAGTCTGATCAGCTTTACCGAAATTTTCGATCATACCGTCACCATTTTGATCCCAATTTCGTAAAGCATCCAGAATCAAATTCTGGAAAAGTACTTAATTTTTAGATTGTGCACAATAACAAACCTTAACAGCCGGCCAAGTATGATTCAAAAACTTTTTGTCAAAATTTGTTAGAAGGGCTAAATCTCTCCATGACATTAGAACATATTTGAGATTCAAATCTTTCCATTTTCCAGTATCGTGCATTACATAAGCATTAGTATAAAGCCAAGGATCGTGAGCTACAATGAAGATTTCTCATAAACACATGATAGTATGAGCTCACCAGGATTTCCTAAGTCATGTGGAACTCGTCCGCCAGTTTTTAAACTTGCTCGATCTCCTTCCATATGAAAACGTGTTACTTTGTTATTTTGATGATCAATTTGGTCGGCTAGAAAGAGAGTTAAGAGCATATGATACCAAAGCACTCTCTTACTAAATTCTGATTGCATTACTAATTCCAGCTCAGGCCATAGTTGCGCCAGAGCAAAAGAGGCATAGAAATGAACATCGTAAGTGTTGATCATTCGGTATTCCCAAGCTTCATGTGGAAAGTCAAGAGTATTGGAAATAACACATATAGACTTACATTCAAGATATCCAAACCGCCCAAAAGACCTCATTCGCTCTTTGGTATAGTCGGATAATTGCGTTTCGCTAGATGACCAGTTATCATCAAACTCAAACCACAGTGAGCCTCCGTCTGTCATGAAGTACAATTCGTTGAATAGAGCTGACTTATACCAATCAGGTAACAATTCGTGTTGCAACACAGGGTTCTGTGAATGGCTATAAGACAAATTCAAAAAAGAAACGCTTACCTGCCAATTGTTAATTTTTTCTTCCCACAACTCCCATCTTTCTAAACTTCTCTTACACAGTTCAGCCGCTGCATTCTCGCTATCAAAAAATCTTGTATACCTCCTAAATTTCTTGTATTCTTGTGCATTCTCTGAACCTTTACCTCTTATACTCTCTTTGTTCATTTCCAAAACGAACGATTGGCATGTCCCATGTCAGAGAGAACTCCATCTTCGTTGAACTTCCTGAGCTCACGACCGTTTTATTACATATGGCCACTCCTAGCTCTCGAGCATTCCACTTCTTACTAACATCCTGAATTGAACAAAACTTTTCATTTCGTTTTGGTCTACTTTGATTACATTTTCTGGAAGTTCACCTCTTTCGAGGAGTGTTTTCCAAAGATGGGAACCATTCCCGGACGGATTGAAACTATCGCATATCGTTGTCGTACCAGTACCCTGAAAAACAATTCTCCTTAGTTATGAGAAGTACAACTATGAACAGCAACGAGACTTATGATATACTTAAGTTACAAACCATTTTTTTCGTAGCAATCCCGTACTTACATGGCATTTGAGAGATGGTTTGATTTAAAATAACTCCCGAAACTGAAAGGAATAAATTTACTGAAAAAAATGAATTCCTATTAACTATTGTCCATTTCGAAAGAGGAAGATGAGCATGCGGACTCCTTGTCCCATTTTTTAAAGCCGGTGCCGTTCCGGAAAGTGAAAGTAAGTGAAACTTCATAGTCCTGATTGGAATTATTAATAACATCAACTATAAAACAAGTGCTGGGCAGAGATGTGTCCTGAACAAGTCATTCATGAAGTGCTTCTTTAAATAGGAAAATTACCTCGTAGTCGTTTGGAAAAACAGGTGAAATTTGCAAAAAAACAACTTCGATCATAAGCTCAGGTACAGCAAAAGAGGTCCAGGATCGGGGATATAGCCCTCTTGAATGGATATCATTGGTTTCTCGAGCTTATAAAGATCGGAACCTATAGTATATGTCATGTTTAGGAAAGGAGAAATCCCAAGCTGACAACTGGTTTCCACGAAGAGCAACATCCGCACCACACAAGACTTTCTGATAAATGCATTTTCCATGAGCTCGAACAGATAAAATGAATTGATTAGCCTAAACGAGGAAATGAGAGAAGATTCCGATGAGTCAAGGATACGGGAATGACATCAACTGCATGTTCTATTAATCCAGGTCTCAAACTAAATTTACAAAAACCTCCTCGGAAATCACGTCCTAATGATCCACAACCTATTCCTCCACAGGGAACCCCTACACGATATCTACTTCGAATGCACTCTGCTGTATTCCTCACCGTAAAAAGGCTTATGCTTCAAAGGTTGAAAAGTATTGATGAATAGTTTCTCTTTGTCAAATGAATGCTTCATCCAATATAAAAAATATCTCCTAACGAATGGAAGAGCATCATAAATCTATAATCGACGATTCTGAGTCATTTGAGTTCATCACGCTTGCCTGTCGAGCTGTAGGACGGTTGAAGGCAGTCCGCTTCTCACTTGGTTTACGATCTCCACGAGCTGACCAACCTGCTCCAGCTATTGATCGAGGAAACTCGAAGAACTTTAAAACAAAAAGATACTTTCTAAAGGTTGGAAACCAACTTTTGCTTGAGCATTCCTCTGCTTAACAGTTACCATTACATAAGAATCCTAATTAAAACTACTTTGAACCTAGACATATTTTATTTTTTCAAAAGGGAGAAAGAAGAGAGATACGAACGAAGGCTACGCGATAGATATAAGAAAACATAGAAGCGAATTATAAATAGTTTATTATAAGTTTAAGATAATAATAAATAATTTGAAGGAATATTTTGCATATCACATGCCGTTCACAGTCCGGGGAAGTCATTGACTGTACCGTCAATAGTTTTTACAGAATCATTAATATGGAAAACAACTCTGACTTTCATTCTCAGCTGAAAAATTATTATATTATCTGAGGATTAGCTTTGAATGAACTCACTTTTTGTCCAACTGTTTTCCTGACTATGTTCACTTTTTGAGTAATTTCATTATGGCCGTTCAAACTTTGTCCACTTGCAGGTGACAATGTGATCTCGAATGCCTAAAAAACGAGTTTAACAAGGGTTATTCTAGACAATAAAAATTACTTTGGTTACAGCAGCAGAGAAAGCAACGTTCGTTACAGGGACAGGGTTGTTGCTTCTCATTTTCAAAATCAGCTGAACGCTCTCGTCTTTCCAAGTACCCGCAACTTCCATCACAGCCTCGAATCCCATGCTATTCAATACGATAATTTCTTCGTTTTTGGGGAAATCCGTGAGATCACTACCCAAGTAATCTTGAATAATTCAAACTGATAACAAATAAAATATTCAATCAATACCATTATTTTTTAAATTTTCCAGGTTGCCCAGCACATCAATCAGGAGATTAGCTGATGACTAAAACGAATATTATGAATAGTTGGTTTTCCCTTCTCACCTCTGGCTTAGACGCTCCTAAACTATCTAAAAGATCGGCTTCTCCTAAATAAGGAGTTGCTTCAGCAGCTTTGCTTTCTTCGCTGTTGTAGATGTCATCCATAGGTGAAGCAGCAGCATTCAATGAGTTGTGAGTAATTACAGGCATTCTTTCCAACAAGCCATATCTGTACGAGAACCATGATTAACGAGCAACTTAAAATGACTTACTTCAAATCGCCTTGTTGTAATAATCTAGTGAATTCTACAGAGCGCTGTTGCAATTCGAGATGGATATGAGCTTGATTGGCTCGTATCAGTGCACTGATTCTTTCAACACCAGAGGAAAATCTGAAGTGTGGTGGTAAATAGAGCATACAGGAGTATCTCACCTAGTTGCGAGTTTGGCTAAAGCAGCTACACCGTAACATTTGGTTACAATGGAAGTTAGTGTTGAAGGCAATATTTGTTCAAAAATATCAATGACATCCGATTCATTCAGCTTAAAAGCAAATTGTTTGAGGAGATAAGAAAAAATGAAAAACCACGGCTGAATCAGCATCATGCGATTGTAGCAATAAGTCTCCAAATTCTCCGAGGCACCAGAAGGCAACCTAAGTAATAATAGATGGAAAAAGAGCATCATAACCTAATCTTACTTGTAATAGTGGTTGGGCGTTGATTGAGTCTTTTTGAGCGGCTCTGAAGAGTTTGACAGCAGCGTAATGTTGAAGTTCAGCATGAGAAGAAATTAATTGAATCATGCATGACACAACTTCATCAGGAACATAATTTCCGGCCTGAATGATCGCAATGATTTTCATAAATTTATCTCCACTAACCAAGCGCAGGACGGTTATCATAGAATCAAGATGCCACTCATGATTAGGGGAGAACCTTTCAGTGGCTACATACATCTTGGATGCACATTCAGCCTGAAGATGATAAAATTTAAAATAGAATGATTAAAAAGACTCACCTTAAACTCGGGATCAGCGGTTTCCAGGAAAATCAAAATCTCTTTAGTCATGTTGCTTATATTAGTTTTGTTGATTAAAGCGAAACAGAGTTCCATTGCTCTCCTGACAAAATAAAATGTTTGAATTGATTTGAAAAAAAAATTACTTTCTGATTGATACATCGGGATCTTTCAAGCATTCGACCACAGTCGTTCGATGTCTCTGAACAGCTTGGTAATCCACTCCAACGGTTTTCAACAAAGTGTTCAGAGCAACGTAACGAATGTTCTTGTCGGGATTCAAAAGGAATCGACCCAATATATTCACGGCCAATACTCTGAGACCACTGCAAAATGGATGAGAATAATGGGGTATACAAAGCTTAGAGCCGAACCTTTCACTTTTGATTTCCATGATGGTTAGAACAGTTTCATATAGAATGGCATTTCCGACATTTTTGGCTGTCTCTGTGTTAGTTGCTACCTGGGCCAAGATATCATTCATTTCCTCAGTAGCCTTGGGATCGTCTTTACCCAAAACACGTAGCAATCGCAATATTTTAACCTGTTGTAACAATTGCTAAATGTATTAGAAAGTATAAAAACCTGAAGGAAAGGATCACTAATTCCAGTAACATCATGTTCCGGTGAATAACCACTCATTAACAAGTTTTTCAAAATCCGGACAAGATTTGGAACGAGCTAAACAAAAATAAAAAATATTACAAAGGTATAAAAAACCTTTCTGAAATGATTCAACACATCTACACTTTTCTCACACATTTCTGTTACTAAGGTTGTAGCACCCATGAGCACACCTGTGTTATAGAAAAATAAAACAAAAAATTATAAAAACCTTCTTACCATGATTCTTTTCTCCCAACAAGGATCTAGTGCTGGGAATGAAAACTTCCATTAGTTCAGGTACCTTTCGAACAATTCGGAAAGCACACAGAGCAGCCTAAAGAAAAAAATCGATTTGATAACCAAATACAAGCAATCGAATACCTTCTTCTTCGTATAAGTATTACTTTGCTTAATAATTCTTTCAACCTCATTTGCAAGATCACGACACATCTCGGCTGAGCAGATGGAACCCAAAGTACATAATGCTAATCCAGCAACAAATTGAGTGGAAGCATTCAAATCACTAAAAACACAACTTTCTTTTGAAAACTGTATGGTAGCTCACTTTTTCAGCGAATTGGTGACCAATAAATGAACTTCACTTCTTTCGTCTAATAGAAGCATAGCTCCCAAATAGCCTATCCTTTTGTCAGTGAAGCGGGGTTGAGCTACAAGTTTCATACATTCCATCTAAAATTTAATATCAAAAATTAAAAATGAGATTTCAAAAAACCTGTCCAAAATGAGCTGGATAACCTAGCATGTGTATATACAAAAGTTTAGCTATGTTACGGCATTTCCAGGGAGAATCATCATCGCGGAAATTTTCTCTACAAGGGGTAAATCGGTTGAAACATTTAACATTTAGCAACACTGAATACCTTATATTAGCACTTTCTCTGTCAACCACAGCTCGTTCTTCAGCTGCTGTTCTGGCTGCCCTGACTTGCCTTATAAGATCTCTCAATCTCATCGGAGTCCCTAGCGTTCTACAAAAACTGTTTAATTCATCGGTACAGAAGAGCTCACCTCCCAAGTCTTGATTTAACTTCATCTATTTTTTCTATTGCAAGCTCAACTGCAGTAGCCATCACTCTGAAAGATAAAACGAGAGTTTTAAAATTTCAACCAGCTTAATACGATATATAATTAGAAAAATTGATTGCTTATTTGGATACGCAATTTAGCGTGAACTCTACAAGTCAAGCATTAGACTTACGTACGTAATGCTTGAATCGGAATACCGTACTGAGTTTATTCAGATTTGTCGTTCATGCAAATTAAGGTTGATACAGTTCCCATGTGTTTCCTCTAAATGTGATAAGAATTGTACTCTTCTGGCAAACAATGTTTTTTATTTTGCAGTGAAAATGGATTGCTTAACGGGAATGAAGTTTCGTTGAGTTTCAAGTAGAAATCTTTAACATCATGCATTCCCTCTGAAGTAAGTGATTTTACGAATGCTTACCGCTCTGAAACCGCTTTCAAGCAACAACCTGTTTATGAAAGTATGTCCTGTCTTCCATTATTGATTCTGTTTTACCCTAGACGTTTTTGCCTTTCCTTCTTAGAAGAAATGTATTATTTATAAATATAGTTGTTGTTTTTACAGATAATTTCAAATGGAAGGAGACGAGAAGAAAGTGCAAAAGGTATATCCTGTGCTTCAACAACCGCAAGATGTAGATAAGTCAACTCTCCCCGACAAAAAAGAAAGCGAAAAAAAAGAAAAAGTTCAAGATTGTTCTGATGTTGCTCTCTTGATGAAGGTAATTTCTCATTTTGTGAAGTTTGTCAAATAAAAAAAACAAGTTTAGGCTAATGATTTCGCAGCTCGAAGACACCGTTTTCAAAAGCGCAAAGATAACAGAACTCCATACATAAACCACCCTATTGGTAAGACATGTGATAGGATTGTTTACCCTCCTTATTAAGGAGTTGCATTCATCTTGACAAACGAAGCCAAAGTGTATGATGTGATAACCTTAGCAGCAGCATTACTTCATGACGTTGTTGAGGATACAAAAACTTCCCATGAGGAGATTTTGACCGAATTTGGCGAAGAAGTATTTGTTTCATTCTCTGATCCTTTAAATTACTTTTGCTCAGATTCATAACATCGTCAAAGAACTGTCAGATGACAAAGACCTGCCCAAGGATGTACGTAAGGCCATGTGTATTACAAGAGCACCTGAGCTGTCACATAAGGTAGTGGTATGAGGAGTTTTTATGAACAGTACTGTCATTACAGGCGAAACTAATTCATTTAGCCGACAAATTGTATAATCTGAGAGACTTGAAACGTCAAACTCCTCATGGATGGGAGAAAAAGCGAATAAAGGAATATTTCCAATGGTCGAAACAGGTTTTTTGATGCTTTCTTCAATTTGTTTCTTACATTTCATAGGTCATTGATGGAATGCGTGGCTCTCATTTGATTCTTGAAGCTCTTTTAGATGATGTTCTTCTGTCCTACTGCCAAGAATAACGAATCTTTTTTTTCGTCTTTTCTTTCCGTGTAAATGATTGAAATAAATTTTTGATTCCACTATTTCTTCCCTTCCATTCGTTTTCTGAAATTAGAGATGACGCGGTTTTGAACTTTCCCGTTTTGGTATCCCTCTGGCAAAAAAAAAAGGAGAGAACTTTCGAACGGATGTTTTGATCTGTAAGAAAGAGACATTCTCTAACTGGATATTACTTTGACATATAAGGTATTGGATGTTAAAGATAATCATATCAACTGGGATTAGTGAGACTGTCATGTTCATGTTTGGATTGTTCAATTGGCTGCTTGTTTTAGCCAAAGCGAATCTTCTTTAGTCTATTGCATTCCAAGGACGAATGAAACAGATTCGTTTCTTCTACGGTTTTGCCTTTATTCTGGCTGCGATTATTTGAATCGTTTCGTTAGGAAGCCTCTTCGCAATCTATGTATCGTTTGTAATGATAGTATAAATTATTTGTTTATACTACTTTATTAATTACAAACTCGTTTTCGTTTTAAGCTGATCGACGACAGCCAAATATTGTAAGCGAAAGCCAGCGTGTTACCTTATTTGTTATAAAGATGAATGTTTTTTTTCATTTCATTCAAACAACAATTCTATTCTCTCTAAGTCTGTACTCTATCTTTTTCCAATCCTTTAGGTCACAATTTATAAATAAATTTTCAACTTTCTTACATTCAGAACAAGTTTTCTGTTGATTTCATCGCCTATTTTTTTTTAACAATTTTTGTTTGAACAAAATAATTTTCGTCTGAAGAAATGCTCTTCATCATCTTTTATTTTAATTTTACAACTTTCTTATTTCATACGTTTGTCTGTACAAGATGGAGGTCGGCATTAAGCCGAAACGCCAGTCAATCCTTATTGGTCAACGTTCAATTGACGAATATGGTGAACAAAACAAAGGTATGAAATATAATAAATAATAATTATTATTCTTTATTATTTACCCATTTAAAGGTCCTAAGTTTGTTATTTGGATAATTGGAATATTCAAAAAATGGGGTTTCATAGTAGCAGACCATGCATGGCTCGCGATCTTCATCTGCTTAGCTATTTCCGGATTATGCTTGATAAAAATCGTGACAACACAGTGAATTAGACGATTTTCGAAAAGAAAAACGTAATGCATGATCATTTTCAGACAGCGTAACGATATTAAGGGATATACCCCGTATGGAGCACGAGCTAATGATGAATGGGATGAGTATGAACATTTTTTTTCCACAAAAGGTATGTGTACTTTGATTGTTGATGTCTTATATATGATGAGAATGGTTATAGGTTTACCTATAACAGGCTATTTATTCATTATAGCTAAAGATAATGGTAGTATGCTTAGACCTGACTATATGGAAGAAACTATAAAGGTTAAAGATGATACAGAATAACACATCTAACAATGATCATTCTAATCTTTGAAGGTTCTTAACTATGCAATGAATAATGTTACAATAAAGGATCGAATAACTGGCAAAGAGGAGAATTATAACCAATTTTGCAATTCGTTTTGTCAAATAAACGAGCCTGTTCGACAGTTTTACGTGAGTATTCAATGGCAGTTTCTATTATTCTCTTTCTTTTTTTTTTGGTTTAGAATGGTTTTCAAATTCTGAGTGAAGAAGGTGAAAGTCGACTTGGACGTATCAACTTAAGCTATCCAATAACTTCGATATTCGGACGTAGTTTCAGTGTTCAGGTTTGAATTACAAAAAAAACTTTCTATTTGTATGTAAAAACATTCTTTTTCTAAATTTTTTTTTTCAGCCAAATTTCTTTGGTGTTGAACTCTTTGATGACGATGTTAGACATGATGAGATACCAAAACTATTAAGTGGCGAAGATGACATAATCGGTAAATTTCCACTCATCCCAACCTCAATAAATGACCAAAATTGAAGAACTGAATTCGACTGTTCGGGCAATTGTTGACCCATTAGCTCGTATAACCAATATTAAGTCAATCAAAATGATAACTCTACAATTCCGTGCTGAACACAAAGCAGGATGGGAAGAAGAAGATGTAAAACGTTGGGAAATGCAGCTTGTGGATGTCTTTGAGAAGTCTGAAAAACAACTTTCAAATGTTTCATCTTTTTTTTTTTTATCTTTTAGGCGATATCAATCATCGAAACTGAAAATCTATGCATATTCTCAGTCGTATGTTGAAGAAGAGATGGTACGGGGAGGAATCATTATGCTTCCATACTTGGTTGTCGGATTTGTCATTATGTGCTTATGCAGTATTGCATCTGTTATGATCAGAGCATTATATATGCATCAACAGAATTTCTACAAGGTTATCTCTCTCTCTCTCTACTTCAAAATATGCTCAACATATCTTGATCTAGATTATATTGGCTGTCATGGCATGCTTGACACCTTTGCTGGCTTGCGCCACAGCCTTAGCCATCATGTTTTTGGCTGGTACAAGATTTGCTTCGATATTGTGTGTCATACCTTTCCTAGTTCTCTCAATCGGTTGACAATTATAAGGAGTTAGAGTAGCTTATGGATACTTTACAGGTGTTGATTCTTCCTATTTGATGATTCATGAATGGCAAAGAGTCACCAAGCATATAAAAGAAAGTCCTCGAAAGAAAGATAGCGTTGGCCATAGAATGAGTGAAGTAATTTGTTAGATGAGTAACTGAATCACAAACTACTTCCATAGGTTCTATCTGAAGTTGGTCCTGCTATCTTGATTTCTTGTTTAACGAATATGTTCGCTGATGCTGTTGGTTCATTCACATCCTCTCCAGAAATCACACTACTCTGCACGGGTAACATGGTGTCCATGTGTTTTGCTTTCTTATACCAGGTATCTTGTGTATACGAAAATCGGCTGAAAAAAGCTGTCACAGATGACATTCTATGCCGGTTTGATGTCCATAGTTGGGCGTTATGAGATTGGAGCTGAAGTAGTGGAGAGAAGTACGATGGAAGTTAATATTGCCGAGAATAGAGTTAACATCGCCCGTCATCATCGTCCACTTACTGTTTGAAACAAGGGAGAAACCGAAAACAAAATATTTTTCAGCGTCAACCTTCGAAGTTCCATGAAACAACCAAACCCATCATCAGTAAATTCATGCAGCGCTATGTTGACTTCATGACAACCGTACCTGTCTACGTAGGAGTTGTACTTGTATACCTAGGTTATGTTATTTTCAGTATTTATGTTAGTTTCGAATTTTACACAATCTCCTAACATAAGTTGCATTCCAGGGAATAACTACTTTGAACATACAACTGACTGCTGATAAGCTATTCGCTCTTGATTCGCCTTTGCTCGAAGTAAGTTTCTCGGATAAGGAACCTTGTACAAGTCTTTTCAGCTTGACAAGCTCCGTGTTAACTACCAAGTTCCTCATTACTCAATGGCTACCATTTTCGTAAACACTCCGGGAAATCTGTCAGATCCACAGAGACTGAATAGAATGAATGAGTAAATCAATGGAAACCACTATCGTAGAGTATAATTGAATTTTTAAAGATTTGTAGCTGATATGGAAAGATTGAATGGCACATGGGGTAAGTCTTGGGGTGTTTCCGGTACGCGCTACTTTGCTCGCGACTTCCAGACGTTTGAGAAATGTGAGTTTTATCCGTTGTCGGTCTTGAGAGTATAGAAAGTGTTAAGCTTTCACGGACGACAGTGATTACGATGAAGATGAAGATGACTCCAGTAATAAGACTGCTATAGCTGCAAGCGACGATGATTCATGGGTAAAATGTGAAAAGTCTGTTATTTTTGTAATTATACATTTAGCCTACACTTTTCATCGAATCACAACTTCAATACTTCTTGAAATGGCCAGAATATGATTTCTGGGAGGGTTTCGTTAAGCTGAAGAACGGAACAGAAGAGTAAGCATAGTTACCCATTATTTCGATCAACATGAATACTTAAGCCATCTTGTACTTGAAAAGTTCTTCTTCACCGCAGGATTCCATGGAGAGAATTTGAAGATCTGGAGCAACAGAGGTGTTATGCTTCAAGAATGGAGAAAAGTAGTTGACAAATATCCGTAAATACTGCCGTCCTAAATGAAATATTGCAACAAGCTATTCCAGAGACTTCGGAGCATCCGTTTTCCATGAAGATGGTGTATATCTTGATCTGATCGACAACATGGCAACTGATACATGGCAGGTATGAAAACGTATATGCATGGCTTACGTGATTGTTTTCTCCTCAGTCTGTTTTGGGAACACTAGTTTGCATGGCATTTGTGTGTTTCATTTTCCTGAATAACATGTTCACAGTGGCTATTGCCTCTCTTTCTGTTCTATCCATTTGTGCAGGTTACCCAAACATAATTAATTTCAATCAACAACTCATTTCAAGGAATTCTTGGAATTCTTTCTTGGTGGCATGTCGATTTAGATCCTATCACTATGGCTGCTATGATCATCTCTATTGGTTTCTCTGTGGATATACCTGCTCACGTATCTTATCACTACTATCAAGCTTGTAAGAATTTTTTTACAAACTTTCTAGTTGTTATACATTCCTATTGAAGCATTGTCATCTCATCCAACTGCTCGACCTGCCGATAACTTGGCCAATTGCCTGTCTTCTGTAGCTTTCCCGGCTGTTCAAGCAGCATTAAGTACGATGTTATGTGTTTGCAGTTTATTATTTGTCAACATATACATGGCTGAAGTTTCAAATAGTAGAAAATTGATTCATTTATGATTCTATCTTAGGTCTTCGTTAAAACAATGGTTTTATGTGTTATTCTATGTAATCTCCATGGACTGCTGTTCCTTCCAGCAATTCTCATCATGCTCGACAGCATTCGATGGGCTTGCAGACCAAAAGGTTCTTAAACTTCTCTTCATATTTTAAACAATTGACTGTAGGAGCTGCCGCACAAGTACCACCAGTGCGAATCACTCCACGTAAAGGATCAAGAACTAAGCATAAGTTGCAACAGGTACACATCAATGAAAGATTAACAAGCTTGTATGTGTGTGTTTAAGGTTCAACCAGTTAAAAGCTCAGTCCCTGATCGTCCAGAAATTTAAGAGCCGAGACAAGACAGAATATAAGTTTGTATATATTGTATACTGTATACTATTAGTGTACATTATTATTTTTGGCCAAGTTACCTATTCACCTGTGCCATTAATAAGTTGTTTAAACTTTGTAAGCATTTGGGTGCTGCTAAATTTCATACATTTGATGAATAAACATCTTTATTTTCTATATTTAACTTTCTATACCCAAATTTGTACGTCAAAGAGTCTTTATTTACAATTCTGTTCACTTATTAGTCAATGGGGAAGGAATTCACAACGTCTTCATTTTCAATGCGCTGTTGGAATTACACGATGGCGCGTAGTTTCTTCATTCTCATTGCGCTATATAAGAATTACTCGGTGGGTCACAGCGTCTTCATTTTCACCACACACACATTGTGAAGTGCTCCGGTAGTGCGTAAACGTCTTCATTTTCAATGCGTTGATGGAAATTAAGCGGTTGTACACAGCGTCTTCATTTTCAAAGTACAGCTTAATAGTATCACGGTTGTGCGCTCAGTGTCTTTTCATTTTCATCACGCTATCCCTAAAAATAACCGGTGCTTCACACTATCTTCATTTTCACAGCTTTTGTAAAGAAGTGGACGGTGGTGCGCGATATCTTCATTCTCAATGCGTTGATGGAATAAAGCGGTGTGTCATAGTGTTTTCAAATCTAACGCCGCATAGGATTAACATGATTTAGCGCATCGTGTTCATGTTGAGAACGGCATTATAAGAAATACGTGATAAGCGGCTTTTCTCATTGATTCGATTGAGCATTTGAGAGAGAGAGAGAGAGAGAGAGAGATAGAGTTCACAATAAGTTTGTTGAATGAAAGACGTCTCATGTCTTTTCTTTGACAATTGCATTGTACCCACCCATCTGACTGTTATGAACTAGTTGGTGAGTGACAAAAATGGAATTTTTCTTAATTATGCTAATTATAAACATAAAGAGGTATTTCAAATAAATTATATTTTATTATTTTTTTGATTTACATTTTTGACTGCAAGTGTTTGCACATAACTTAAGAACGGAAGGTCGTTCACACAACTGTAAAACTCCCCACAGCCTACAGTAACTACCATAATCGACGCATTTCAAGTCAGGACTTTCAATTTCTAACTTTTCCCTTAAATGAATAGATGGTACTCAATAACATGTTTAAAACCATCAACTTACGTATTGACAATTGGCGATTTGATATGCTCTGGGGGAGGTGTGGGTAACAATGGCTTTGTTGTTGTTTCGGGTGGAGGAGTAGGTAACTCAGTGCTATCTGAAAAGCCAGTTGATTCATTTTTCTTTCTTTTTTTCCCTTCTTTTTCATTTTCATTCTTTTCTAAAGAAGTTGTAAAAGACAATAAGAAACAAACGAACATCTGGGTGTTGTCGTAATGATTCTGTAACCTCCTTTGTTAGGCTTTCTTGTCGTTACTGAAGATATGATAGCGTATGAATAGAGATGACACCTTGCTTCATCTTCTCACCTGCTATTTCTCTGATTTGAGGTTGAATGAATTGTCCTACTAACTCATCAGCTACAACTTTTATAGCTTCAAATGTTTCTAAACCAGTTGCCGGAATTTCTCTTTCTGGTAGAAGAAAGCCATAACTTGAAAATTAAAATATATAATAAGATGATGCTAGATGAGATGAATAGTACCCCATCAAAGTATTTTTTGGTCTTAATTCGATAAGATAAGCATATGGTACTTCTAATGATCCTTTAGCCCAATCATGAGATCCACCTGATGCTTCATCTATAAAGGAAAAAAACATGTATCAATGATGAAATGATCCCCTTATAGATTCTTCAAGAATGAGGAGAGAGATAGAGAGGAGAAGAAGGAGAGTAAGGGTTGGTATTCTCTTACACATCAAATCAGCACCAGTTCCTACTTGATATTTGGTTCCATAAAGATCAAACATAGCTTTTGTAGCCTTCAAAGCTAATGGTCTCTGAATACATTCATATCGTTTCAATCGTATATCTTTTGTTAGAAACTTACTAAAGCTGTATGATAGTCTTGTGGATAGTTTCTCTTTCTATGTCCATATGGTACTAACCACATTTGAGAATATGAATGTAATGATATGAAAGCCTATTAGAGTATATTATTATTATATATATTTTTAATTTAATTATTTATGTTTACCTTTGGAGGTGTGGCAACTAGAAAATCGCGAACAGCTTGAGATTCTGGCTCAGAAAATGCGGATGGTCCATGATATGTTTCATGACATGGATCCGATGATGATCCACTTGCTTTAAATATTATTAAATAAACGAATATCATCCTGATATCAAAGCATACATGACCAGAACCAGTCGAAATTTCTGTTTAAATCAACTCCGGCGCAACAGACAGTATGAAAATGCTGCTTCTTACATGAAGCTGGACGTCTATTCTTTCTCCACATGCGATTCTAATAATAATTATTATTTCTTTAATTAATTCGTCTTCGCATCAACAAATGATGTACTTTGGTTCGTGAGTATTCATAGCCATCTGGATTCATAACGGGCAGAATGTAAAAGTTGGTCACATCCAAAATTTTTTGAATCGCTGGATCATTCTCATATCCTTTTACAAGCTGAATAATTAAAAAAGAGAGAATAATAGGAATGCCATTAATGGATATACTTCATGGATGATATACATGGCAGTTGCTGGGGCGATCCATTCACGAGCATGAATACCAGCATCTATCCATATAGAAGCTTTATCAATAGATGATCGCTTTCCAGTTATCTAAATATCAATTTTTATAAAAATATGATTTTCTTGAAAAGATTCTAATTTTTCTCTTTTTTTTATTATTATTATTTTCAATAACATACTTGCATAACAAGAAGTGTACGATTCTCGTGTGTTTGACCAATGTCATATAAGGAAATCATCTCAGGCTTTTCGTTTCGAAGTCTCTTCATCTCACCAAAGATGTCATCCAATGAGTTATACTTATCGTAAGCAAAGCCGCCAGCTTCATAATGATGAAATGCTGATGGTTTTCGTTCGTCTGCTATTGCTCTATAAACCATGAACTATCAGTATCATATAGATGAGGAGTGATTAACTCTTCTAAATCGTTGATAGCTACAACATAACCTAATTCGCGAGAATTCAAATCTTTGATGAATATAGGAGCATCACTTGGTGCTACCGTCACATCAACGATACCTCCTAAAGAAATTCATTTGGTTAACTACTGACTGGATATTTCAAACCAATATGGGTTGGAGGCTGCCAGAAATCCAATTGATATGGTGAATCTCCTTCATATAAGGATTTAAGATATACAAGATTCTCTTCGCTTTCGGGGTTTATTCGTATAAGTTTGAAACTGAAAATGCAAATGAGAGATGAGATAGAAGGCCTTGGCATAGTTGGGATTGAAAATCTTGAAAAAGTAAAGAGAAAAGAGAAAAAACTTACTTTCGGAATGATACATTCTGAGAATTAACTATCAAAATAGGAAGTATAAATGAGAATAAGGAGAATGAGGAGAACATCCTCTCGCATATAAGGAAAAGTCAAAATGAGCAAATCGTACCGTGACCGTTCGAGGAAATCGTGAGGAGTGAGATGTCATCTTTTCATTTACAGACAAACACAGATTTTCTTACGATCTTTACTGATGAGCGAAAAAGGTTTTAAAAACAAATAAGAGTTTTGACTTAAAAAAGAAATATATCTTATTTTATAATATAATATATCCATTTGATAGTATATAGGAGGGAGGAAGAGAAAGAAAGAGAGAGAGTATATAGATGGATAGAGATAGAGAGAGAGAGAGAGAGTGAGAAGCTTCTCCGGAAGAAGGAGATACTTGACAGCATTTTGATTATAAGTGACTTGAAGAATTGACTATTCATCTATCCCAAACACATACAACAATGGATCAAATTTTATGAATCTCGTGTGTCATTTTCCTCTTTTTCATTTTCCACACAATTCGTCCTTGTAAGGCTCAGAAGCCGAAATTCCTTTTTTTTTTCATCTTTTTCTTATTTCGCATATTCATTTTCATCTGAAGTATGACCTTCTATCTTCTGATTTCCTCTAATTATTGTGGGCATGGTAGTCTAGTAGGAGTAGCCACAGCAGCATCAGCAGCAGCAGCAGAAGGGAGTAGTGGGAGTGTTGAAGACGAAAATGGGCGGAGATGTGACGAATGACGGTTTTGACGACTTGTTGAGTTTGATTAATACGTGCATTGCCCTTCGTTCTGTTGGTGGTCACCTTTGAAGCACACAAATCTCATTTGCATACCATCCAATAGAAGAATGTCATTTTGATGAAAACTGCTTGTTAAACATCGGAAAGAAGAACTTTTTTAAAGTAAATTTTTCTTTTGTGCACAACGCCTTTTTTCTTTTTTTTTTCTGTTGGAAAGACGGATGAAGAGAGAGAGAGCAGCAGAAATGTTATTTATTTAACTGTTCAAATAATCTTTTGTATTCTTCTCGTCATTAGGCTTATTTCATCTATGGATTGTTACATAAATTATAAAAACCTTCTTAGTTTCATCCTCCACAATAGACTGTCAATGTGGCTAAGCCGAGGTCATGCAATAGAATCTCTTTGACGACCTTAACGCTTAATCTCAATGGATACCAAAAGAAGGAAACGTTAGTTTAAGAATCCTTCTTCTTCTCCTCCTCCTACTCCTCCGACATATATATCTCTCTCTCTCTCAATCTCTTTTCTACTTTTCTCTTCCTGAATGTCGTTGTCATCGACGTCGTCGTCGTTCATCTCTTACCAACAGACGTTTGTTTAAGTTTTGTTGACTTTGATGAGAAGGACAGCATGCACAAGAAACACCTTGGCATTTCGGAGATTTGAGAGTATATCAAGGCTGTTTCTGACAAGTATATTTCCTCATGGGACTTGTTCGAAAGTACAGAATAGCCAATCGACGAGCGATGTTGCATGATGGAAGACTTGACTTCATTTGCAGCATCCATGCTTTATATCCCAAATCCCCTCTCTCTCTCTCTCTATCTTTTTCTCTCTCTATATATCATTCCCTCCCTCTCTCTCTATCTGTCTTTTTATTTTCTCTGCTTTCATCTCCTTCTCGTTTCCTCTTTTTTTTTTCTTCTCCTTTTTCTCTCCTTTTAAAAGGATTTTTCTTATTTAGGAGAGGAGCAACTAATTTGGAAAAGAATCTGGTTTACTTTTCTCAAAAACAAGCCAATATCAAAATGTTTTAGTTGATTAGTTTAATCAAGTCAGAGACCAGTTCATTGAATTGAGGCGTTACTATAACGAACAGCTGATTTAATTATGTTTTAGGTCAATATCATATGGCTTTTTAACCCTTTTACTCTTTTTCTTCCATTTCCAATCACAAACCTCTTCATAAAATATGAGAGAATATTCCCTTCTATCTCTCTCTCTATGCATCATTCTCTCTTATAGTCTCTCTCTCTCTCTCTCTCTATCTTTCAATCTCCCCCTCTCTCTCTCTTTATCTATCTCTTTTTTCCCTCACTCTCACACATAACAAAATCATCGATTTCATTTTAATCCAGGAATATTTTACTATCATCTGACCACATCTGGAGGTCAGGTCCTTTCCCATGTAACACCTTTTGACATTCCAATCTTTTGTGACAGTTCTCGCAGCCTGTCAGTCTCTCGTTATGTCATTATCTATCTATTCACAATTCCCTCCTATTAACAATAATATTATTTGGTTTATTTGAATAAAACACCAAATTTCCCTATGTACATTCTTAAAATTATTCTTTTTATTTACTTTTTGTTCGAGCGCTTCTCCCAATCTTTCTTAACTTTCACCTTCTCTCTCTCTCTCTCTTCCTCTTATTCATTCATACATGCTATCTCTCACACTTACATAATGCGTGTATCACTCTTTCTGTCCCTCCCTCTCTCTCTCTCTCCCTCTATCTATTTCATTTTCTCAACAAAAACTTTTTTTTTTTTCATTTTTTTTTTTTGAATAAAATTTGATGACATGCCATCTCATTGATTTTCGGCTCTTCCTGTGTCTTCTGACAGAGAAAGAAACTGCCAAAATCCCTTTTTAATTAACTGTTTGTACATTATTTTCTCACTTTCTATTTGCTTAGATATGTCATATTTGCTTATTTGACTCTTATCAAAGAATTGCTCGCTTTTGCCTTTCGTATCTTTTGCCTTTTTTGCTCATACGTTCTCCTCCCAAAATATTCTGCTTGTTTTTTTTTTCTTTTACTCGCTGATTCACATTGTAAGACAATCATGAATGATTCACTCCAAACGCTTATGTGAATCCTTACCCCTCCACCCTCTCTCTCCTTCATCAACACCATCCTCTTCTTTTTGCTTAATTTTCATATTATTTCACTTCTTCTTTGCAGATGATTAATCCTGCTGCTGCTACAATGAAACTTCCTCTTCTGCTCTTCTTAGCTTTCTCTTCAAATGTTTATCCAGGTTTGTTTTACAACCACCCTAATCATCTTCCGATTCACTGGAAATACATATCACACATAACAAAAATAGAACAGCTCCTTTTACAGCTAAAATGCCATTAACCTCTTGTCGGAAACATTATTTATCAGGAATTCGTCAATCACAGCCTTTACCCATAAATCTTGAAGGTAAGTGAGATGATGAGATTGGATAGTTATATATATGTTATGTATTTATCATTATAGATGAAAAAACTGTAAATATATTATGTAAAATGCCTGAGTCAGCAGATGATGGGTTCGTAGAGACCATTGTTCATAGTGGGATAAGTAAGGGAGCCATTGTGGAAGGCAAAAAAAGCATTAATTATCAGTGAGTAGTTGTGTGTGTATGTGGTGAAAGTATCCTTTTACATTTTCAGAATGCCTGATTTGAATTGGATGCGAGAAGTTTTAAAATCTTCATATTGCTCTCAAACACTCACAATTGATTGGAGGAATGAAGATGAAATGAACCGGTTCGAATGTTTTCCTTAAATAATCATAATGGAATATTTCTTATTTTAGAGGAAATATAGAATTTATCACTTTACTTAATGATTCATTCAATATAACATATGATTCAGGTTTGTCATTTGCAAATATTGAACATTATTCAAATAATTTACAGACAGACCATTAATGGAACTGCCATTAGCACAATCTCAAGTTGCAATTCGGCACGTCTTTGTTTCTAAGGGTAGAGTGAAGCTTCAAGCTTCTCCCTTGCAATGTAGGCAGAACATAGAATCTCCAGTAGACTGTTTGTTTACTAACAGAGTAAAACAAAACAACAAAACTTCATTCTAATTATTTTTCATCTTTTTGCAGCTCCAAATTAGTTTGTTGGCGCGAAATTGGAATTTCAATTTTGCATTCCGCACAGGTGTGAATAATCCGTTTTTCATCGCTCTCAGACAGCCAAACGGAAGTCTGAACCTTGCTATAGAAAATGGTGGGAGAATGAAGAAGAATTCCCAGCTTAATAGATTATTTTCAGATTTTTTCATCAGAATCAATGGAAATTCCAGTAATGCCGTAGGCTTCCTCACAGATTCAAACTGGCATTCGGTCAGTATAAGTGAAAACAGCGGCTTGACTATTGATAATTACGAAATTCTGCCGTTTTCGGAAGTAGTAAAGTGAGTTTGAATGGTATTCAATGTATAACTGAAGGAAACACTTCAGATTTGATAGTCTTTTAATAGACATTAATGGAGATATTTTGGTAACGAATGAAGAAGATGAAAAGGAAGAATGCATGTCTCTTAGAGATTCTTTTATTCCATCGGAAATAGAAGAAAAGTAAGTATTTAATTGTCCTCAATTGTATAAAAGAATATTTTAAGTGAGGAACCATGTGCTGGCTGTGATTGTTCCATATTAGGATTGTTTTTCAAATCATTAGCATCGCCATCCACCTGTCCATCCAAAAACGAAGATGACGGCGATGGTTTGACTTTCTTACAAAAAACATTCATTATTATCCTATTTTTAGCCTATCATCTCATCAGAGATTCAGACAAATTGTCTTTTTTCCATATTGCTGAGGATACACCAAGAATGGACATACGAACTGCTTTGACTTTTAAATCAGATTCTGTAAGTCTCTCTCTCTCTCTCTCTTTCTCTCTGTGGATCTTCATAATGAATAAGAGGACAGTATAGTATCGGGTAAACAAACAATAATTTAAGGATGCCGGGTTACTTCTTTTTGGTTATTGGAATTTTGTCTCTCGAGGACGATGGCAAGTACACTATCGAGGGTCACATCTTATAGCAATCATGTGTGAGCAAGAAGAAGAAGAAGAGCAATGTCGTCAATGTTCAATTCAAGGAAACAAAGGCATTTCCTTCTTTTCATCACAATCGCTCACAATCTTTTGTAGGCTTAGGAAATGATGAATGGCATAATGTGGCATTTTTTGCTCACAATTCTCAACACTATCTGATTTTGAATCAAAAAATTTGCCAACTACAACAAATTCATCAGCAGAAGAACATCAGCATTGCTGACTTGTACTCGGTGCCTAATGTGGTCAATCATGGAGGCATTTTCATCGGAGGAACATATTATGAAATAAAGAAACCTGGCCTCTACATGAATGATATTACCATCAAGTATTTTGAGAATACAAGAGAGAAGATACCTTCTCTACGAGTAAGTCATCCACTCGCATCATCATAAGTACTTGTTGTGTTTGTAGGGATGTGTCAAAGATGTGTACATAAAAGGAGAAAAAATTCATTTATCGACAGTCTATGAAGAACAAAGGAAATCTATGCTAGTTGATTACTCCGATTTCCAAGCTTTCTCTCTTATGGTAAAAATTATTCAAATATTTAATATTTTAATTAAACATTTATTATCTGTAGAGCGGATGTTTGGTATGTGATCCGTTGTGTGCTGAGGATGTACGATGTCGAGTTCCTTTCCATCACCATGTAGGGACAGGAAAATGTGATTGTTCAGACATTTATGCAATAGAATCAGATGATGGATCATGTAAATTACACAAAGGTTTCTTATTTACTCTCATTTCGTCATTTATTTTCATTTTATAGAACAATCTGTTCCTTTATCTACAAAATATGTAAATGTTATGCCTTTCATCATGACTGTCCCATCTACAAGAGCTCTAATTCAAAATATCTGGATCAAGTTCAAATTGCCAAAGAACTTCCAAGACAACTTGGTCATTGCGGAATTCAATAACCATCGCGAGATGCTGTAATTTGAACTTTTTCCCTCGAGCTTATTCATATCCTTTTTAGGTTCCGAGTTTTTGCAACACCAGATGGCCGCATCAACACTCAGGCGACCCCTAGTGATTTGAAAGTTTTTGAGCCTGATGCATCCAGTTTGTTTTTTTTCACATTATCCTTCACTTCCTGTCACTTCAGAGCTTATTGACAAGTCTGATAGCCGTGTCCATCTTCTTGTAGTTAGGAGACGAACTCCTATTGGAACCCGACAGAACCATCAAAGATATGAGTTGATTGTAAGTTTGAAGAATATAGACAAATGGACCCCATTCTCTTCAGATTGATGGAAGTCGTTATGAAATTCCTGACTATAGTCGTTCATCTCTCAATAATATAACTCTGAACATTCTGGATGACGCATCTGTAGATGAGAGCCCTGTCATTCATGACATAGGAGTTGGTTATGAACCTGATGAGCATACTTTCCACTCTTCCAAATCCAATAAAATCTATCAGGTGAGCAAACTCCTAGTTAATTGTCACCAAGCTGAAGTTTTAGATTGATGTATTTGATGAATTGCTCAGTCATGTATCATCATTCCCCGAGAAGGAAGATGATTTAGGATTTGTTGACCCATACTTATGGCATGAACAAGAAACGCAGCAGAAAGATGACCAAGAACACAGTTTTTCTACTGCTCCTTTTGGAACTGTCGATGAGTACACTCCAGATACATTCCAACCCCAATCGCTATGTGAGTTATTAAAAACAAATATTTAAATATTTTTTGAATCTTTTCAGTGCCCATATCTGCTCAATTTCTTTTCTATGCAATGATAGCATTCCTCACTTTCATACTGCTTCTTTTGTGTTTCTTCTGCTGCTATTGGTGCATTCGAAGGAATCGTAAATCTACTAGGGATAGTACAGCTTCTGACACAATCAATATGTTAAGAAGTAGTCCAGATTATCCTGTGAAACTTCGTCGAGGTTTGCCATTCTCATCGTTGATAACTAAAATATTTGAAATATTTGAAGATTTCATGGAAACGACATCGTTACACGATGACAGCTCAATAGGTACCGATGACACAGATTTAAATGCATATAGAGATATACATTCCCATAGGGTCAAAATATATCGTGAATCGGTAAGTATCATATTAAATGAAAGTGAAAAGTGTTACTTTCCAGATGGTTTCCATATTAGTCCCTTCCCTTGATTATACTCACGAAGCTGCAATTGTTAAGAGGCAGAGCCTCAACGAGGTTACATCACCTTCCCCTCCCTTTTCTTCAAGCCCGGCGCCTTTAGTTGACGTCCAAGAAGACGATTAGATATACTCGGTGTTTTTCATTCATATGTTTCAATCTGCTTATCGATCTCCATACTTCCATTTTAGCATAAGATTTGCATTTATTGGATTAATCCTTCCTTCTCTTCATTTTTTGACTTCTGCAATGACTTTTTGTGATAGACGGGTAAAATAAATATTATTTTTATTGTAGAATCAGGTACGACCCGTGGTTGGACAAGTTGTGGAAACATAAATGGAAAGTGACATCATTTTCAACATTTTTCAAAAAGCGATTATCTATGATCGTGAGAAGTCACTTAAACGAATACTTTGTGAAGTGGAATTGCCGTGCATAGGACAAGAATGTGTAGCAGATGATAAGGGAGAAATCTGAGATAAAAATTGAATTTTTTAAAGACTATTAAAGTCGGAAATTACGTTTAAAGAGCCTTCTGTACTTTCACCATCCTCGAAGCAACACTCACAGCAGCAACAACAGAGAAACAGACAAGGACAGACTCGTCTTGGTTCATCCGCGTCTCTTATCTATAACAATGGTTGCTCTATAGATTATGTTGCAACTTTACCTCTGTTTTCTTCAAAGAATACATGATGGATCCGATAATGACGACTATATAAGAAACGAAATACAAAGAATTAAACTGTAAAAGATATTTTTGAATCACTTCCAACTTGTTAGACCACTTACACTATACTTGAAGAGAAAGATCCCAAAGAGGAAAGAATAGAAATCAGCTGTCAGTGTTGCCAAGTTGAGCATCAAGGCTGATGTCTTTTGCAAAACATAACTGACCAGAGAATAGAATATAAACATGGAAAAGCCAAATATGGCAAAACAGCCGATTGTTGATAAATTCCAATCGACTTTTGATAAGTTCTTGTGCTCTAGTATGGCTCTGTAAACGAATTAGTTGTAGTATTTGCATTATTCAATGATACGTACAGTTGAATTCCGGAAATAAGACTTCCAAACAAGCCAATCATACCCAAATATTCCACTCGATTGTACTGTTTTACAAGAAATTCTTGACAAACATTGGAAACTGCGTATAACAGAGCTCCACCAAGACACAAGCCGTCTCCTAGTAAATGGCTTGAACCTCCAATAGTTCCTTTTCCGTCTAACATATCGGCCCATATAAGAATGGCTATTCCCAAAAGACATAAACAAACACCTTTAAAACTGAATAAGAAAACTGGAGAAAGTAATAGAAATAACCTATAATATGAGTTATGAGATATCTGACGGAGAGGAAGAGCCATGAGAGAAGAAGGACTGTTGGAATCGTGGAACAATCCAATATCTTCAAATAGAACATATAGGAACAGCTGTCTACAGATAGATCTTACTTGTACACTAGTTAAGTTTGTGAATTGATAGGCATAAACTACCATAAAATTAGCTTCAACATCAATAAATGCCAATACTAAGTATCTCCAACCTCTTCTTTTAATAATTTCTGAAAGGAAATGAGAGATGATGCAATCATCTGATGAAAAGCCAATGAATACCTAATAAACTATCATCTCCAGACTTACAAGAAAGGGCTGTACAATAAACAAAGCAAAGTAAGAAATAGTTAGTAAAGCTTTGAGCTGTAACAAGAGATTAGGATTGAATGTGATGAAGAAGATATACCAGCCGGAGCATTAACTCCCTTGTTTGAGAGTAATTGACTTGAAACTCCTGTACCACATAAGCATATTGATAGGATTTGTCCTAAAGCAATCCCTCGGAATGTTCTCCTTAAACAATGATCGATAATTTATGCTGATTTATTTGTTACCAGCTGAGAAAAGGTTGTAATTTTTGTATAAATTTATCAAATCTCGTCTCTTCTGTCATAAGTTTATCAGAGCTTATTTTCGAGACAGAAACAAGAGATATTGATTGATAAATTGTCATGAATGAATAAAATAACAAATCTTTAGGATTAGGAAAATGAAGGGAATTCCTTTCTCTTCTCCAATAAAGTCATTATCATTTGCACCTTTATCAGCTATTGCTCTTATCACCCAATTCGTTTACATTATTTGAAAGAATATTTGACCTCATTCAGACATGACTCTTACCTTATATTGTCGTTGTCACAGCATGGAGAACAATTGATTCCTTCAAGTTCTTCTTCTGCTTTCGCTGCTGCCGCTGCTGCTGCTGCTGCCGCTGCTTCATTTGATCTTAATCAGCACATATTTGAATGACTAATGATCACATACCTGGGTGATGCATTACAGATGTTTGTGGGATTGTTGAGCATTCCGGGAGGTAAATAGCCATTACCTAAGAATCCTCCTTCTCCTGCTGGTTCAGGCAGAGGTTGCGTGATCATCCGCCTCGGAGGCGCTATAGAGCGATAATTCGTACAATCACAGGATAGAATAGATCTTCTTTCTCCGTAAATACTTTCGTAATACGAACGGTTGTCTGAGAGAAAAACATGAAAAGTTGATACAAAAATATGTTTGTAAAATCTTTTAATTGGTACATCAGCTTTAAAAAAATCGAAAAAATGCTCGAACTTCTGTGAACAGTTGTCCCAACGACTCGTATATACTCTTTTGCGTATCCGTTTTCCATCTCTCTCTCTCTCTCTCTCTTTCTCTTTCTTTCTCTCTCATCTTCTCTTTCTCTTCCTTTCTCTATCAGTTTCTGTTCAGTTTTTGATCCTGCATTCTGATGTTGGAAAAATATGAAAACAAACCTGCACTGTTGGAATACATCTAGCCTTCTTTGATGAGTTTAAAGATGGTAAAATGAAGAATTCATAAGTACAAATATGGTTGGGATATATTCTCCACCACTCTCTTCCATATAAGCAAATGAAGAAAGCATCTGGTGTCCATCAAACTTTACTAGCTGTTGACAGATTCAATTTGCTTTCTGAACAGCAAATTCTTCTGGCATTCTCAATAAAGAAAAAAAGTGAACGAAAAAAAAGAAGAAGATCAATAAAGAAAGTCTAAGACCTTTCCCAGCCTTCGGAATGCAAGTCGGTTTAGCTTCAGAATGCGTCTGCGTTTTGTTGAAGAAGAGTAAATAAAAATATTATTTGAAATCTTTCGATTTTCATTTTCATTCTCTCTCTTGAGCGCATCTTAAAGCTTTCGAGTGAAAAATTAGGCGGAGTGCATTTAATTGAAGATAGAAGAGCAAAATGAAGAAAGGACAATAAGAATTTACATTTAATGAACAAAAATATTATTTCACACACAAAGTATTCATAACGATATTTTAACGAACCGAATAAAAACTGAATGATGAAGAAGCTTGAAAAGTCTAATCGTTCGGGATTTATGAAGGACTACTTCCCCTACAAATCATACCCAAGAGGGATTAGGAACAGACGATGAGCGACAAACGAGTGCCAGAAAAGGAAAAAGCTTAGTGAATGAAAACAAGAATACATCAAAATCATAGGATCAAAATTCGAAAACTGCCTAAGACTTCTCGTGCACCCTCTTTATCTCTTTTCTCTTTGAAGAAGTAAAATGAATTAGGCAGAGAGAGAAGAAGAAACCGCAAGACGGGAACAGAAAGCTCTTGCTCAAATTAAGTTTTTCTCTTGCAAAACTAAAAAAATATAAGGAGCCAGCTGGTTATCCTCGTATTTATACATCGTCCAGTAAGGAGATTTGGAACTGTAATCTAACACAGCAGGTCTGGCCAACTCTACACATTTGTAAGGACGGAAGCCTCTTCTGAAATACTGATGTTTCCCATAACTTTACAAACCAACTAACTCAATAAATTTCTTTGAAATATCCAATTCTATGATTCTGCCATATCCTTGATTCCTATACTCGATATGAGTAAACTGATGATTCAGAAAACCGTAATGATCAATCATTTCATAAGCAATCGGGACTCCATCATGACGAATAACGGCAGACGGGAAGTAACGTAGTTTCATTCTATAATTTCATTCTTTTCTTGGAAAAAGTGTTTGAATAAAATGTCACTTTGTTTGCTCATCATCTCCTTCCACAGAATAATTCCATGTGGAGGTTATATGCTTCGCTTCAGTATCTGGGTTTGCCGATCCTTCAAAAATGCGACATGGTTACTGATATAGTTGGAACAGACCTAATTCGAATCCTGGTTTCAGTTCGGGAAATTTATAATTCAATACATAATCCTCTTGAGCCTTAGTCATATAGTAGAGATAAGTTGGATAACAATCGGCTCTAACAGATTTGTCATTTTCTAAGTATTTAACAATCTTAATCAAACAACTCTTTGGTTACATGATAGTTTTCACTTACTAGATCGGTGTACAACGAGAAAGCTATGAATAGAAATCCATTTTTAATATTTTTCAGAATATCCTTCTCGGCTGCGAACTTTTCAAAGCCATTCAAGAAACTTTCAGAATTGAAAGTACCCTCAGAGGTTATTACGGTTCCGTCTCTAAAGAATGAAAAAATATGGAAACTGAACAAGCCGCTCACCTTGGAAGAAGTTTGTTTTGTTTGTAGGCGAAATAGTAGTGACAATCGTTCTCACTATACTCGTAAACTTCACAAGTTGCTACAGGGAACGTTTTTTCAAGTTTAAACTTGACAGATTGGTAAAAACTCAAATGTTTTGGACTTTTCGATAATGTTGTGTCAAGCAGTTCTTGAAGTTCGACGTCATCCAATAAACGAAGCGCCATGATTAGTGAACAGACTACTGAGGTGCTGATTGGAGACACTAGCTACCTAAAAGTAATGTCTCTCATATGAACTTCCAGTTCGCCATATCAATTGATTAAGGCCGCATACGTGCAAATCATGATTATAGACATGTCAAGCATCGCGTGGTCGTTCAACCACCATTTACATTTTAATTTAACGGACAGTGAAAACGGTTGCTATTGTAAAGTTTATAGAAATACGTGCAGAAAACAAAAACAAAAATCTAAATTACTACTTAAACAATAGTCCTATTTTATGAAAAAAATCTCTCAAGATGGTTTTCTGTGTTCCCAATATGCGGGCGTCTGCATTTCGTACAAACGAGAAATAGCCCTATCGCAAGCAAAGAGCTCTTCTGCACCGGTAAAGACATTGGCTTGTGAACTTTCCTGAAAGATTTGGTTTGCAATTTTATACATTATCAACCAGTACTGTGCCGGGAGCAATTTGTAAATCATCCATCAACTTCCTATCTGCATCAGAAAGACCTTCTTGCTTATTTTCATCCAAGTTAAACAACTGCTGAATAGGAACATCAGCACTGATAACAACTCTGACCTGAAAAAGTGAAATGGAAAGTATCAGAGCAGTGCATTTACTTTTTGATCATAAAATGTATCAATGAGAGTAATCAAACGACGAGCTTGAGACAGTTTTGAAGCAGTCAGAGCAGGGACATCACGGAGAATAACCGTATGGAATACTCGAGCGAGAACTAAATAATCCACCGCTCCAGTGGCTTTCTCGCAAACCTGAAACTTTGCTTATTCAGTAGAGCATTTTGAAGAAAACCGACGTCGGCAAAACTGATATCTGCCACTCCTCCACAACATTTCTCTACAACAACATGACGTCCAAGTATATTCAAGGTTTTTGACCGAACAGCTACAAAGGTTGGATCGATCAAGAGGAGAAATCAAAACCACTCACTGTCATTTTCTTTAGCTATTAACTCTTTGAAAATTCTATCACAGCATTCACCGCCATCAGCATCCCCTTTCACGAAATAGTAAGCTGAGCCATCACCTTCTTTCCGTCTATAATCTTTCCCGGAATCGATGGTTATAGAAGAACATCTCTTCTGAAAAGCTTTTATTTTCTCGCATTTCAAAGTTTTCAAACTTCCAGATCAGCTATAAACGGGAGAAACTGATGTCGTTGTAGCCCATTTTTGTACAAGTCTTTAGGAGGTCTATTCGAAGTTGCAACAACAACGAGCCCTGGATTACAGATAATTTATAAAGATATGGTTTACTGTTTTACACCTCTTTCAAAAAGAATGGAAAAGAATCTTTTCAATATCATGGCATCAGCAATGTCCGTCACCTAATCATTATATGCTATAGCTTCAAGTTGAAGCTCAACTAACTTGGAACTCATCGAAACATAAAAGTTTCGTTTTGCTCATTATATCATCTACTATAATTGGCACAGGATCAAAAGTACCACGAGGTCCTTTGTGATTTATTTTGAGCTCATGCATTTCTAGAAACAGAAATCTTATGTTCAAGCTGTTTGAAACTACCCACTTTTATGCACGTCCTGCATGAAGGAGTGGAAATGAACTCTTTCTTTCTTAGAGAAGTTGCAACTATCATAAAACATATCCATAAGCATTGTCTTTCCACATCCAACTGTCCCCCATAAATAAACTCCTGTTGGAGCTAAAACTGCTAGCTAGAATAACGACATATATAGCTTGGAAACCGTTATTGCCGTACCGATTCTGTATCTTCTTTATCTTTAAACAAAAAACTAAACATATTTTTCTTAGTTTGTACATTTTTATTCTGTATAGAATATTTCTCTAAAGAATCACGGAGATTTTCCAAGTGCTCCACCACTTGTACCTGAAACTACCTTATGCGAAGACCACATTTGTGAGTATACCTGATGGTTATCATGAGTAATTTGTCCATTCTGAACTTTCTGGGCATAGATTTCGGATAAAGTAGAGGCTAATCTATCAGAATATGCCCATTGTCGTGATCCATGCCTCAGAATCTTGAGAAACATCAGGATGGACCATGTGAACCAATTAAAATACAACGACTATTGTTCCATGCCGCTTGTAAACAACGTATATTATTGAGACCTAAACGAAAGCTATTTATAAAGTAGCTTCCAGCTCTGCTTAAGGATGGGAGTACCAGCATTCTTCCGTTGGCTTACAAAGAAGTATCCTTCTATTATTGTAAATGCTAATGAAGAAAGGCAGCGTAATAGCGATGGCACCAAAATACCGGTGGACTGTACGAAACCCAATCCGAATTTCCAAGTTGGTTGATATACTTTCTTCTCTTATTATTCAAATGATTCAAGGAGTTCGATAATCTCTACTTGGATATGAACGGTATTATTCATCCTTGCACTCATCCAGAAGATCGTCCACCACCCAAAAACGAAGATGAGATGTTTGTGAGTTTACATGCTTTACACAGCTTGGTCATGAATATTTTCAATTAGGCTCTCATTTTCGAATACATCGACAGAATTTTCTCAATTGTTAGACCTAGGAAAGTTCTTTACATGGCCATCGATGGAGTTGCACCCAGAGCTAAGGTAGGAGTTTTAATGAAAGGCTCTCATTTCACTTCCATTCAAGATGAACCAACAGAGAAGTCGTCGATTCAGAGCTTCAAAGGAAACAAGTGAGAAGAATGCTTCGATTGAAGAGGTTGATAGAGTGTATTTCTTTATATTATTTTGTTCCTTGTTCCAGCAAAGAGCAAGAATGCTGAAAGAAGGATTCACTCTCCCACCCGAAAAACCGAAAGAAGAACACTTCGACAGTAATTGCATTACTCCGGGTACACCTTTCATGGCTAGGTTTGATTTGAATGTTTTGAAACTAATTTTGAAATGGGGTCCTATAGATTAGCAGATGCATTAAAGTATTATATTCACGACAGAATAACAAACGACCCGGCTTGGGCAAAAATTCAGGTAATTTTTCATTATTTTCCCGAAACATGAGCGTGTATGCAGGTTATCTTGTCTGATGCTAATGCTCCAGGAGAGGGAGAACACAAAATTATGGATTTCATTAGGAAACAGAGATCTAATCCTGCTCATAACCCTAATACAGTTCATTGCCTGTGTGGAGCGGATGCTGATCTCATTATGTTAGGTTTAGCAACCCACGAAGTGAACTTCAATATCATAAGGTTGTTACAATTACTTTCCGTAGTCATTTCGAAAATTTCTTCAGAGAAGAGTTTGTGGCCAACCAGCCACGTCCTTGCGAGATGTGCGGACAGTATGGTCATGCGTTGAGTGAATGTCGAGGGTTAGTTCTTCTAACAGTTGCTTTTATTGGTCATACTTTTAGCTTGGAGAATGCAGAACAAGGTCCTGACGTTGCCAATCCATTATGCAAAGAAAAGAACTTCATTTTTCTTCGAGTTCCGGTTCTGCGGGAGTATCTTGAGAGAGATATGTTCTTGCCAAATACTCCATTCCCCTTTGATATTGAGCGTGTAATTGATGATTGGGTCAGTTAATATTTCTGAGAATTTTCGCATCGGTATATTCTAGGTTTTCCTTTGTTTCTTCGTCGGAAATGATTTCTTGCCTCATCTCCCTTCATTGGAGATCCGAGAAGGTGCCATAGATCGCCTTATTCGTTTGTATAAAGATATGGTTTATAAAATGAAAGGGTTGGATTTTTTGAGATTTGATTTCAGTTTTCAAACTTTCTGTTACAGATATTTAACTAAAGACGGGGATGTTTACCTGGATAGAGTCCAGATGATTATGAATGGCTTGGGTAATGTCGAAGACGAAATCTTCAAGCGTCGCCAGGTAAACCCCGTATGAACTTCAATATTAAAATTTAATGATCCAGGAAGACGAACAACGTTTTCAAGCTAATCGCAAAGCAAAAATGGCTCGAGGCAGTGGAGGTAGACCTCAGCGTCCTGCTTATGTACCCCATGAAGGGTCTTTGATTGCTCCCACCGCGGCTCCATGCCATATCTCTGGAAAAGAGACAAGAGAAAGAGCCGCTGATGCGAGAATCGAAGTTTGAAGGCTTTTTTTTCGCAAATAATGAAATTTATCTACTAGGCCATGAACTATTCTGAGAATGAAGCTGCTGCTAAGCGTCTTAAGAGCTTCTTACAAGACGATGGTTCTAAAACTGACGAATCGAACCCTCGCAAGAGGAAAATGCAGGTTCGCTTTCGCCTTCTTTACTAATTTTAATTCTGCTCGTAGGAAGAATTGATACTAGATACCGCTGCCAATGAACCAGAAGAAGGTCCATCTGATGAAATTAGATTGTATGAGTTCGGTTGGAAAGATCGGTATTACAGGTGATTTACTTTCTCGCCATGCATTCTAAATGTAAGCTTGCGTGTTTTTATCTTCGAAATTACAGAGCCAAGTTCGGAGTGAGTTCTGATGACGAATCGTTCCGAAGAAAAGTTGCTTGGGCTTATGTGGAAGGATTGTGTTGGGTTCTCCGTTATTATTACCAAGTAATAAAGCTGCTTCATTACTAAAAACATCCTTGTTTCTAGGGTTGTGCAAGTTGGGATTGGTACTTCCCTTATCATTATGCACCTTTTGCAAGTGATTTCGATACCATAGCTGAGTTCAAGCCAGATTTCACGAGACCAACAAAACCATTCAAACCTCTCGAGCAGCTCATGAGTGTATTTCCTTCAGCTAGCAAGTAACTACTCTTTCATTAGACCTACGAAAATTGAACATTTAAGGCAACATTTGCCTGTAGAGTGGCAGAAGCTGATGATTTCAGATAATTCGCCTATCATTGACTTATATCCAATTGATTTTCGTATTGATCTCAACGGAAAAAAGTTTGCCTGGCAGGGAGTTGCACTTCTACCTTTTGTTGACGAAAAACGTTTGTTAAAATCTCTTGAAGCTGTAAGTTTGAGTTTTCAACCGGGCATATTTTTTTACTTCCTCAGGTATACCCGTCTTTGACTGATGAGGAGCGCACTCGTAACACTACAGGGCCTAATAGGCTATTCATTGGAAAGCATCACGATGCGTTCCCGTTGTTTGATGAATTATATAAGGACGAAGGTTATTTCCTGTGTTGTTCTTTTCATAAACGAAATTAAATTTAGCTAAACGTTTCGATATTGATCCAACATTTACTTACGGCATGACTGGTAGCATAGCTACAGATTCTACAGCTGTACCCATTGAATCATGTTTCGTGTCACCTGTAGATGATCCTTCTTGTGAAAATCTTAAGGTATATCTCTGACATTCAAGTAAATGCTTAATATGTAAAATTATCAGAGTAATGGAGCTATCATGGTTATCTACAACGATCCTGTGTATCCAGAGGGATTTATCTACCCTGCTAAACGGATTGCTTCTGCCACCGAACTTCCACGGACTCTCAAACCTCAAGACTGGAACGACAACCGGGTTAGCCTCTTTTTTTCAAACGAAATGAATGAATGAAAAGATTCAGAGTGGACAGTATCGTCCTCAAATTGGTTTCTCGAGAGACACGGGTAGAGCATACTTAGATTCTTCTGGGCATAGAAACTTACACCATGAAATTCGTGACGATGGCGGCTACCGTGGTGGTAGAGGTGGGAAAGGCTCATAGACTTGAAAATTGACATAAGTGATACTTAGGAGGTTATCGAGGAGGTTACAATCAGAGAGGAAGAGGACAATATAACCAGTATAATAATGATAATCGTGGCTACCGGGGATCTCATTCTGGTTACAATGATGGCTACAGAGAGCGCGGAAGAGGAGGTTTGTTCAAGAATATAAGATGAAATCTGATTTTTTTTTCAGGAGGTTACCACAATCGTGGAGGTTATGAGCATAACCGCCGTTAAACACGTTTGTTTGAGTTAATTGTTGTTGAGTTGGTTCATAAACTACATTGTTTGCATTTAATAAAAATAATTTCATTCGAAGAATTCACAATCATTCACAGCAATCGAAAACAACAACTCTCCCCTTCTTTCATTCACATGTTCACGAAATATTCCAAAGTTTGCTCAGTGGTTTTACCCTGTAAATCAAATTGTATCCTAGAACATGAGAAAAACATACTTTCATGATATCTGCAAACAGTAGATTAACAGTAGCAATCAGTTTTGGGATCTCTAGAGCATGGGATGCCTGATGGATGATAGCTATGATTTGCGTTAACTTAATGATCTCACCCGAATTATATTCAGAAATTCGTCCATGCTTTTTCTAAGATGTTCTTTTTCCCAGCTTCCGATTTGATCAGCCCTCTCTGGCATAAGGGATAAGGTATTGGTGCTTTCGTGAAAAGCCAGCCAGTCGACAATCTGGAAAGAGTCAGATGGAAAGTCAAATAGCGTTTTAGACAAACTCTTGATAACGTCTTTCCATCTACATCATCTAAATTGATCGGAGCCATTTCTTCATCTTCGATATCTAATTCCAACTCCTAAAGTAATTGATATCAGTCATTTTTCATTCAACTCACCACAATGATACTGTGAATGATTTTCGAATGTTTGATCAAATTTCGTTTAACATAAAAGATTTGGGAATCTGACGTGGAGACTTTGAAAACTTCTCGGATTTTTCTTCTGGACATGGCGTCTACAACGAACTTCGTCAATCCTTCAAACACGAAAGAAAGAAAAAATTATAAAAACGATTTGAAGAGCTTTCGAAACTCCGCGCGTTTGCATAATGACCTGTACGCTGTTTAATGAAATTAGAATATGCACCGGAACTCACGTCTGGTTACACGTACGTTTACCGTTGATTTCCTTGAGCTCTGATTATTCCATGTTAATGAGCCCTAGACTTCTTTAAAAACTATCGAATCCCATCTCTCTCATTCTCTGTGTTATAGAAATTATGGTTTAATCCTCAAACAGGATATTGTTCGCTGGCATGTGTGCAGGGGGATGTAACTGTACACGCAAAGTAGAAGCGTACGCTACCTTTTTGCGAGTTTTATGAAATTGATTAGCGTTGTTCGTTTTTTACTTCACCCTCTGTTGTGGATAACATTAGTTTTGGCTCTCTGGTACTCGCATCGAGCTAACCTTCTCGGCAAAAATGGTAAGTTCCTATATCTCTTATGGAACTTCATGGTTTAGAAACAGTTACACCGGAGAGTAACGAACATTTCTGCATCAGTACGAAACAACATGAATGTGTGAAGCCATTTATCAGTTTTAAACAAAGATATAGAGTATACATTCTAGCTAAGAGTGAATATTGTATTATATAATTGAATAGGTATCTGGTCGGTATAAAGTAATAGCTTGTGCTATCGATAAGAATTTTTCTACTTTACTCACCGCAGTCTTATGTTTTCTACACAATGAATCACGGTTTTTAAAAAGCGGAAGGAAATTGGTGAATGAAATTTTTCAAAGAAGGTGATTATTAGCAGATTTGAACAATACAGTGTATGTTTATAGATTCTGTGGACCTCGCAACGAATATAACAAACTAGTGGATTTCACGAATAAGTTCAAGTTGAAAACACAAGTCTTCAAAAAAATTGTTTCACATACTGAGTATCAGAGTTTAGGCGTCATGGAACGAATGGTTGTTGCTTGCCGTTGTTAGGGATCCAATTCAACGGTTCATCTCAGGGTTCACAGATAAATGCATCGTGTATGCTTGCAATAGAAAGAAATCATTCTTGTGTGGATTCTAGAGAGAAAACGTGGAAGAAATACCCAGATAGATGCAATGGTTGTAAACAGAACATGACTTGCTTCCTCGAAAAACAATATAGACGGATGATGAAGAAATCTAATAAGGAAAGAATTTTTGCTAACTTCGATGATGATCACTTTCATCCTCAAAACTGGTTTGCCACAACAATCTAATGGTACAAAACGTGTTGCAGGAGATGTGAATTTCAATCCAATTTTGATAAATATCAAATAATATCTTATGATTCGGAGAAAACACAGCCCTTTTTTGAGAAGTTCTACACGGTATTAAGGAGTCGTAAAGTTCCCGAAAGCGCTCTGAATTTCATAAGTTTCTTAGTTTTTTTAGCGAAGTTACATTTGGTTTTTATCCAGAAACGTCCATATCTTCCAATAGAACAAGACATAGTACAGTGAACTTACCCGAAAGGTTGAAAGTTGCGCAAGCTGTTCAAGAGAAGTATCACATGGAGCTCTTAATCAAAATGTATTATTATGATTTTGTTATTTTCGGATATGATATTCCCATCTTATGATGATCCAAGAATATTTGGGAAGTTAGGTGTGCTGAGTACCATAAACATCAATCTTAACTTCTTTCTCTCAATGGAACTTTTACTTTCAGTAAAATTAAATTCTTTGTTTTTTGCTTTCTGTTGATGATTATTTTCCAAAATATGCGCGACTAAGCGCCTTTGATTCCAGTGAGATTTGAATTCTAATTTGTCAGACGGAAATTTCATCTCCACATTGCATTTTTTGCCAAACCTTCCCATCAAAGGTATGATGATTTTGATGTTCTCACACGTACAGAAATTAATTTCATTTTCTAGCCTTGTTTGATGTCGGAAGCAACCACCTCTTCGACAGCTTCTCCATCGACAAAAATTTCTTTCCGATATGTTTGGATTACGAAGGTTTGTCACATTTATGTAACTTAAACCATGCGATTTCAGATAGCCAAACGACCTCTCTCTCCAGATGAATCTGTCATTCTTGTAGTATCCCCTAAGTTTGCTACCGTTTATGATCATATTTCTTTTCAATGGAGTATGAAGATTCATGGAACAACGGGGAAGGTAAGCTTTATAGATTTGCAAATTAGTGATCGTACTCTTCAAGTTAACTACATCTGATGATGAGCAAGATGAAGAAGATTTCTCTCCCATCAATTATGCAGCTGTCGATCTTTACTTTGCCGAAGGGCCTGTTAGTCAAGTTGGTATTCATCTGCTTATGAAAACTGTTTCAATGAGTTTAGATTGATATTCGAGCTGTTGTGGGTATAAATAGACCAGATTCTGAAAATGATGAAACAGAGCACGTAGTGGAAGAGAGTGAGTAACTTATGAGTTCTGTTCGAACATTCTTGTAGAAAAATCCATTACTATGTACCGTGGAAAGGGAGCTGAGATTACCGACAAAAACAGGGCAGCTGTATCTCATTTCATTATGGTTTGATATCTCAAAATATTCATTCGAATAATAAATTGTAGGAAAATGTGGAGAGACCAGTGAAAATATCTGTGCTGTTAAAGATGGATGCTAAACTGTTCGAGCCCTTTACTTATTTAGATAGCGTTAATCCAACACCTCAGAAATCCTTCCTCACGACAAATTATAATGCTCGTGTGAATAGCAAAATTTGGAGAAGGAAATCAAAAAGGTGTGCCAGAATAGGAACAAAGTAAAACACTTCTAACTCCAGGAGATCGAAAGATGAAGATAAGCTGAGTAAGAAAGAAAAAATAGATTATGAAAAAAAATTTGAAGAAATTATGCAAAAAGAGGTATAGTACATATGAATTATTAGTATGTTGTCAATTTTAGACATTGAGTTGCAATAGTCTTCGCGTTGTTAGCACAAGTCCCGGTTCTCGGAGAAGCTCATGTACAGCTGAGAAAGACCATGATCATGTTTTCAAGAAGGTTGACAATAACTTGGTAAATCTTCATCTCTTTTTTTCAGATTCTGATAGCTTGTTGTGATTCATGTGACCGAAGGAGAAGCTCTTTCCTTTATGAAAGTAAGACAGAGGATGAGGCTGAAGACGTAAGATATTCAAATTTTCATTTCCATGCAATAGTTCAGGACGGAGAAACCAGTGATGAAGACCAACGATGTTTCGAATGTACAGAAACAAGCAAAGAGCACATCCATGACGTATTACACTCGTTTAATAGTTATATATCATGTTTTCTTCAGCTATTGGCGAATATTTATTTCACAAAAGTTGTACTACCCGAAATGGAGTATGTGGAAGACTTCGTAGACTTCCTTATTGACGCCGAGCTCAATGATCTCCCAGTTTTGAAGAGAGCATGTGAAAGATATTTGTGTGGGGAACTGAACACCGTGAGTTGCATATCACAAAATGTTAACAATGGATGATTGCAGAAAAAAGATTTGGTGACTTCTTTAGTATTGGATTTATTGTTCCTGTCGATAGTATTCAACTTGCCAGTCATGAAGTCAATGACTTTGTCCGAGTTATCAAGACGAACAGATGAGCTCAAAAGCATTGATCGTTTGATGGAACAAGAAGAATATAAGTGAGAATAAAACTATCGATTCCAACAATATCAACATCACAGAAATTTGGACAAGAGAATCAAATCGTTGTCAGATCGAAACTTGATGGAGCTGGTTGAGCAGTGCATGACGTTCAAAGAGCAAAGAAACAGAGTGAAGACAATTATACTTTCCTAACATGACTGTGTTAGGCTTTATACTATTCGTAGCAAATTTTATCAGTAATATTTATTGTTTTTTCTAATATTAATGAAACTAATTCATTTACTGTTCCTGAATTTCATTTTGGACTGAGGATACGCAATCTGGTTCCAATTCACAGCTACAGACCGAAATTTTGAGTTGTAAAACTCACCATTTGATTGCGTATTTTGTTAACATTTCCATGCAAGCGGTCACAATTTGGTCAAAATTTGATTAAATTAATTCACTTTAATTAGAGTTCTATTGCATATTAATCTGAAATTGAGATCAATGTACTACCAAGGAGGTAAGATATCCAAAAAGCTAATCGTTTCTATTTTAAGCAGTTTCATATATCGAAAACTCAGCGAATGTAGACAAATCTTACGATGGTAAAGCTCTCCTACGTGACTTCTGGCCATCAAGGAAGCGCAAATATGAGAATATGACGGAAGTTTGTTGATTTTTAGTACTGAAATTAAATTGAACAGGACGAAGTGAGATCGTATGTTCGTCACATGGAACTTCCCATGGCACGGGTTAAGAAAATAATGAAACTCGATGACTCTGTTAGGAACCAGGTATGAACAAACCGTTAAGCTTATGAATTTTATTCCTGATCATCTAGATGATAAGTGGCGATGCTCCTTTGGTGCTTTCCGCTGCAGCTGAAATGTTCATTCAAGAGATTACATTAAGAGCATGGAACTTGGTAGATGAGGGTCGAAGGAAAACTCTACAAAAGGTACCATTGCCGATAAGCTTTTGAAACGAAGCTCTTTTAGTGTGACATAGTTGCTGCTTGTAGTCGTTCAGAAACCTTCGATTTCTTAATAGATATTGTACCTCGAGATGATTCCAGACGGAACCAGGTTTATTACTTCTGCCCTAACTGTTTTTCACATTTCTTCGTTCAGGTGGTGAAGTTGGCCCAATATGCTTCTGATGAAGCGAACCCTGCTAATAATCAACAGTCACAGCCGGTGCAATATGTTATGGCAGATTGTGAAACTTCAGGAAATAATGTTATTCAGCTTGACAACGGCCAAGTTCTGCATGCTACTGCTATAGGACAGCCTATTCCCATAAGTAATTTACTCCTGTTTTTCGTGTCTGATTCTCTATTTTTCAGCCGATCCTACTGTTTCTTTCGATATAAGTCAAATGCAACTACCTACGGGCGTTCAGTTTGTGCAAATGCAGTCTCAACAATAAAACTCTAAAGTTTTAATATAAAAACTGATCTCACACAACTTTGTATATTGTTCATATAACGCATTAAACTAATAAGAGTGATTTTCTTCGGTTGACTTCATGATGGCTAGTTCCCACTTGCGATGTTTTGTGTTGTGCTTGTGATTTTTATACATATTTGATTCGTTTACAGTAGATGAGTGTGGAGGATATAGATAAGCGTAGACAAGAAAGGACTCGTCTTAAAAGGAAAAGCACGCTAGGAGGAGCTTCTTGTTTGTTACAATACGTTGTCTAAAATTACGTTCAAATTTTAGATGGAACTGATTGCGATGTCGTGGCTATGTTCCCACATAACAAGCCTACTTCCTCGAAGGATATAAAGTTCGAGAAGCATATACCTTTGGAAGGGAAAAACAAGACTCCTATGTACACTGTTAAGTTGGAGGTGAAGACTTCTGTTTTCTTTCGCGATATTCATGATGTTTGTATTTGTAGCAAAATGTTAAAAACGTCGTAGTCCTAGGTAAAGAAGTAGATTCAATCGAGGAAGGTTACAACTACTGTTTCGCCAAAAAACATAAGTGAGCGAAATGAATTGTTTTGTATTACTTTCTACCATTCAGAAACACCGGGGAGATCACTTATCGTCCCGCTTTACTTTACTCTTTTGAGACAAAGTATGCTCCCGACCCAGATTATATATTAGGAAACAGGTTGGTTTTTTAATCTTTCCAGTCTTGATCCTCTATCTATAGAAAGCCTCCTCCCGTAGATTTCACTGCGAACTATACACTCGATAGAGATCAGAGCTATGCCAAGAGAGCGTTATTAACAAATGATTTCGGTTCATCCAAGAAGATTAAGATGCACGAAGCTGCCCTGAAGCGGTCTATCAATGACGTACTCATTCATTAAATGTACCTAGAAATCTTTTTCATTTAGGCCACTCTTGAAGCTATGCTTAAAACAGCTTTTGCTTCTAGCTCTGTATTAACGACAAAGGAAGACATCAAGCTGGAACAAATCTCACTCATCAACAAAGTGAGCTGTTATTATTTACAAAACTGATGCTTTCTCTTAAGGCTCAATCTTCCATCTTGCCTGTTGCCGTACAAACAGATAATGTCAAAGCTATCTATCCAATCTCCCTATTTTTATCTGACGCGGAATTGGAAGCTTTCTCTGAAACAGCGAGAGACTACTTCCAGACTAAACGTTCAGAACTTGTTGCAGCAGGTTGCATTGCTGTGATTATCGTTTATAAATTGTTGAATTTAGGTTTCCCTGACATGATCGCCAAGTTCATGCCGGTAAGCATTCAATCTAAAGGCTCAGAAGCTGTCGCTTTCCTATTATTAGGATGTATGACCCATATTATCATAGTTAGTACTTTTCGAGAAAACTGTTCAATTTTTTCTCTCTCTAGACCTTGGGAAAGGGTAAAGTTATGTTGAAGAAAACTGTCGAGGAATTGCCATTCCCTGAAGGAATTGTGCAGAAAGTAATGGTGGATTTCTTGAGTGAGTCCTTCAGACCGTTCCTCAGAAATGCGTGTTTAAGGTACTGAGTTCGACAGAGGAGCTAACAATAAAGCGCCAATGCGATTGCAAGTGTCTTCTGAACAGAAAGAGAAACTAGTTGCTCATGTCTTAGCATTAGCTCTAACTCTGAGTATGATTGTACCACAAATTTTAATAATCATAGTAAACTGCAGGTCCCAACCACACTCTTCCACTTAATATATGGCAACAAACAATAAAATTGGCTCCTTCTTTCATCGAAAAAGTAATAAATAGACATTAATCGTCACTAATCTCTTCTTTAAGGTTCTCGTGGGCTTAGGATGTGAGATCATTCAGTGCTCAGTCGACGAAGCTGTGAAAACGGGATCTATGAGAGCTGCAAAACTTACTAAACCCCCGGGCGAAACTAGTGGTAATAAGCGGCCGAGAAGGGGAGGAAAGAGATAGTTAAACTGTTTGATTCAATTGTTACTTGTTGTTATCTTTTCTTGTTACCTATTAAAATGTTTAAAATTTCTAATCAACAAATGCGTTCTCTAATACACTGAAGACAAATTGAATGCAGCCGCTCTGCCAAAAAGCGGAAGACGAATGACGCCGGCTTCATATTACACGCGTACGCATCTGCGTACCCTGCGCATAAATAATCCGTTATTTCCTTCAATAAATTTTTACATTTTATTTGTTTTAGTTCGAATTTTTTTTTATCTTTTCCTCTTCTTTCTGGCTTTTCTTCGCGTTCTTAGTTTAAACATCGCGTAATACGGAATTATTGCAGGTTAGTAGGTTAGTACGAATTACCCGAGGACGAGGTCCCGAAGATTCGTCAGGGGTAGAGTCCCCTGAGATGAGTGAATCCAACTGTATGCATAAGGAGTTTTTGTCCGAAACTGTTGCTATTGTTCCAGATTCCGAACGCAACTTCTTGCCATTTAAAATTCAAAACATCCGCCTTAAGCGTCTTCAGGTATGCGTAAGGTATATCGCTCTCTTCAACATAAAATTGTAGGAACTGAGAAATAATCGGCGAACATCTTTGTTGCATTCTCAAGCTATTGAATTTGGTAAGAATCTTTCAATTGAAAGTAAATTAATAGCAAATTAGAAAATCTCACAAATGGCTTTCCTGAAGTGTATTTCGATTGGTATAATGAATGTGTCAAGAATATGTTGAAGGATCCCGTGTACTTTTATCAATGCATGGTTAACAGTTTCAAACATTATCATCAGAAGCATTTTTCCAATACAAACCATGAGGTATAATGATCTGTTTCCGGTTCTCATTTTTCATCTTTTTTTTTTACCAGGGTGACTTCGTTGCTTTATTAAAAAACAAGCTGTTGTATTCAAGCAAAGAATTAACTATAAAATATACCGATGTTACCCAATCTGCCATATTTGAAGTGAAAACTCAGATCCTTCTCCAATTCCATGTATTGTGGTTGACTAGTACTGGTACTGTCGATGAGGTTTTTCTGAAGTTTTGGATCTATCATCACATGAATTTTTTTTGAGGTTGTGAAAAATTTGCGTTGTTTGTATATTTGGACTGATCCTACCACTATGAAATCTTTCCTCGAGGAAACTGTTTGTGACTTGTAAGTTTGTAATTCCTTTCAATAACTTAATCTTGTTCTCAGATTCGCCCATGTTATTCCCAAAGTTATTTGCCAAGTTTTTGAAGAGTTGTGCGTAGCTCTGCCCGTTGATCTAGAGGAGCATAATCTTGTCGATGAGACTGATGAACCTCTGCCTTGGATAACGGAAAATAATAATTCTAGTCAATTAAAAGAATTACACAAAATAATAGAGGAGACAGCGTTAGATTTGGAAAGTTCGAAAGAAGATAGGAAGAAAAAGAAGGAAACCTTGAAGAACGCTAAGTTATCAGAGCCCAAAATAGGTAACTCATTCGGATTAGGATCTTCTTACATTCGTATTTCAGTTTCTCCTTCCAAGCCCCTTTCACAACTTCGAAAAGTTCCGAAAATTGTTCCGGAAACCCCTGAAGAAAAACTAATGATACATAAAGATAATCCTGAAAATGCAGAGGTAAGATATACACATTCAGTACTGCATTATAAGCCTGTATAGGTCGTCAAACAAACACCCATGGCTAAGCTCAGAGGAATTAATAAGAAAGGATCGAAGCGGTTAAGTGAATTAGTTAAACTGAGGTAGACAATCTTTTTGTCTCCACTCAATATTTTCATTCTGTTCAGTGAAGAGAGAACAAGGCCTAAGAGAGCTGCCGCAATTGTTGCTGCAAAAGCTGTTCTGAATGTATAATGAGCTTCTTTTCCTTTATTGATGCGATTTGTTCCAGAGCTCTGTCGCTCCGAACTCGAATAAGGAGCTGTTGCTCGGTCTGAACACGCCATCGCCAAGGCCAAACCGATCAGCTAGATTGAACTTGATCGACAGATTTGCAGCTACTCCAGAAACTCGTAGATCTACCAGAAAACTCAATCCTGGAAGAAAGGTGAAATTAGATTTTTTCTTCTGTAACATTCTTCTTACAGAGCAGCGAAGAGGATCTCAGTTCTGGCAACAGTGCTAAGCGAGCGAGAACTGATGGTTATGATTCAAGTAGTTCTAAGAGCGCCAGCAAATCTGACGCTTTAGGAGAACAGATTGGTTTCACTTCGGAACAGTTGAAAAGGTTTTTTACTGCTGATTTCTGTCTCAAACATTTCTTTCTCAGATATAAGCAAAGAATGATGGAAATCTCCAGAAACAAAGTTTTTGAACCTGTAGACAGCGAGAACAGAGAGAGAACTAGTCTCTTTGAAGAGCATGAACTAGAGCAATCTAGGATGGATGAGAAGAATGTTCAGAAAAATCGAACAGGTAGATTGGTTCGCGCTCAGTGTAGTAGTACAGTTCATATAGGTAGGGTCCTTGTTCTTGATTAAAATAATGATGAAAATAATTTTAGCTCATATTCTTTTGAATGTTCACAACCCTTCCCCTTTGGAGCCTTTCAAAACTGGTAAAGTGGCTGGTGCTAATACAACGAAAATTCAAAAACTGGTGAGCATACCTGTCGCTTAATCTGTAACATAGTAGTTTTCAGGTGCGAATTGCTAAGAAAAAGGATAAAATTAAGTTGAATCGTTTACGAAATCGAAATCGCAATCAGCGATCATCGCCCCATGACAGTCAAACTTCCGATTCGTTAGAATTTTAAACCTATCTCCAACATTCTGAGCTCCAAAGAGTGTACTTTTGCTCAAATTATTTTTTTCTTATTTAATTATTCTTGTCAAATATTACAGGTTTATCTGAAATGTTCTCCGAACGTTAATTGTAACTAATGATATTTAATTGACAACAAGCCAATGTTTTTTTAACGTTTAGGCTCTAACTTGTATTATATTCGTCTTTCCTCATCTTTTCGGATCTAATCATGTTTGTTAGATCTCTCTCCATTACTTTCCCTTCCATGCCATATTTCTCATAAATTTTTTGCTGCGACCTTGCTATATGTCAAAGAAGGATCATATTCCTCTTTATCTTTTATGTCTTCTTCATTATTTTGTACTAACGTTGTTTAGAAGATGCCTGCGAAACGAGACGGATCAAGCGGAGAACGGCGGAGCCAAAGGCAGCGTATTGATCTGAGAATTCTCAATCAAGAAGGGTTTTTCACTTTCTCTGAACGTTCATCTTATCCTTAATTTCAGATTTGATCGTAGTGATATGGAGAGAGCTCTTAGAGCTAGTCTGGAAGAAAGTAAAAACCTTCCCAATGCGACAGATCCTGTAGTTTTAATACGCGATGTTAAGAAAAATCAAAAATCGTTGAAAACGAAGAAACCTACAAAAAAAACTCAGGAAAAAATAGGCACCTCACCTGTAACTCAGAAAAAAGTGATAGTTGGAAAAGAAACTGTAGAAAAGCCAAAGAAGGCTAAAGTTGTGAAGCTGAAAGAAAAAGTTACTGTCGAGAAGATTTCCGTGAGTTTCTCGCAGTCACAGATCAACCTTATCACTATTTTCAGAAAGGAAATGCAGTTGAAGCAAAAATTACAAAATCAAAAAAGAAAGTAGCCGAATCTCCTAGCTCAGATGTTTTACCGAAACCAAAATCTACTGTGAAAGCAAAAACTACTGTGAAAACCACTAAAAAAGTGAGAAAGTTTGTCAAATGAGTATATTCTACAGAACTCTTTTCAGAATACACCAATAAAGAAAAACATTGTAAAGCAACCTCTCAAAAAGTCGAAACAATCTTCCGACCGTAAGAGAATGGCCCATACTCAGGTATGTGGATGAACCTGAGCTCTTGACAACATGGGATTTAGGCATCCGATTTCATAGCATTGCTCTCTAGGGGAACTAAAATCGTTAAAGGCTCGGGAGCCACTGACTATGTGTTGTAAATATGTACTAATTAATATTTAATCGAATAAACTTATATTAAATCACAGTGCACATGAAATGGTGTTGTAATTCAACGATATTTTAATTCTTTGTCTTCTTTTTCAATATGGTCTTTGACAGGTTCTTCTATGCTGTTATGCTTCGACTGATCCTACTTTCTCTCTCTTTCGTTTTGTCGTTGCTTATATTTCAATCAGGATTTTTACTGAAGAGAGAAGAGATTCATGTGAACAGTACCTGCTTGGATGTGAATATTAATAGCTCTGAATGCTGGCTTCCAAAGCAACATGGAAAAGTTGAATATTCAATGTGTTGCTTTCCACACCTTGAACTTTAGATTTTCCTACTGATGGTCGATGCCCTTCGATATGATTTTTTGGAGCCGAGTAATTTAACATCATCTTATCGAGGGCATATGAAAAATGTGGAAAGACTGTTGTCTAACGGTGCTTCAATTGCTAGTATGATGGCAGATCCACCCACAACAACTCTTCAAAGAGTAAAAGCAATAACAACAGGTTCTTAGACTCAGTCTTTTTTGTTCACAACAATTTTTCAGGAACCTTACCTACATTCATCGAAGCTGGTAGTAACTTTTCACCTGATGCTCCTATACTAGAAGATAATTGGCTCACCCAAGCTAAGAGTCTTGATAGACAAACCTTCTTTTATGGAGATGATACATGGTACAGTCAGTTAAGAAAATGCTGAGTTATCAGCAATATTTACAGGGTATCTTTATTTCCTAACACTTTCACCAAATCAAGGGGTTTTCCCAGTTTTAACATAAACGATTTGTATACTGTAGATGACAATGTTCGAGGTATCCTTTATGGGGTTTTCCTCTATACAAAATGCCCTTCAGCTCTTGTTCGAACTCAATTGAAGAGTCAAGAAAAGATGGATTTGATTGTTGCTCACATATTGGGAGTTGATCATTGTGGACATAAACATGGACCGCTGCATTTCCAAATGAGCCATGTTCTTAAAAAGGTCGATATTTTCATGAAAGGATATTTGAATACAGACTTTCTGTTTAGACAGATGATTTCATTATGGAGCTGGCATCATCTCTAAATAACGATGATTTGTTGATAGTACTCGGGGACCATGGAATGACGATGACTGGCGATCATGGAGGAGATAGTGTAGACGAAGTTAGAGCTGGGATGATGGTACTGAAGACTATATCTGCTTTCAATTTTCATATTTCGTCCAGGTTTATTCTCCGGGAAAAAAAATTGAGCTACGCTCTACGTACCAACAAATAGATATTGTTCCTACAATATCCCTGTTATTAGGGCTTCCAATACCTTATTCAAATCTCGGCACAGTAATTGAAGAGTTGTTCGATCCGTCACTACGAGAGACTGTGGTCAATTTGAATTATGATCAAATATTGAGGTAATATAGAGACTCTTTCTTTCTCTCTGCAAGTGTGAATGGTATTCATGAAAATCTAATCAGATTTGCCAATGCTTATGCTTCCAAGAACTATTTTGGAGATCTTCTTCAAGCCATATCTCGGGAAGGCTCTTCATCGTCAGAACAGAAATTGTATGTTTCTTTCTGGTTTTTGATCTAACTTCTCTCTTAGAATAATGATGAAGATCCAATCAGTGCTCCGAGATAGTTGGACTCAGTTTGATTGGTCGCTGATGCGTGTAGGACTCATTTCTTTGCTGGAAGTGGTTCTGTTCAGCTTATCTGATAGGCCGCTAGCCACTCCTGTAATAATCGGTATTTCAAATTACATTAATTTTCTTAACGCGAGTTCTCAGTCCGTAGTGGATGTTTATTACTGCAAGGAGCAATTCTCCACGCAGGGGCGGAACACAATGCAGCTTTTCCTTTGCTTCTCGTTCCACTACTGATTTCTATACTGTACTCAGTTAGTTATACGATATTTCGCTTGTATCCATTCCGCTGCTCGTTCTCAGAATATTTCTTAGCTTTCGGTAGGTTTTTCATATATCTATGTTTTAAAACCAGTACTTTCAGCCTCTTTCCTTTATCCACTCTCATTCTTCTCAAATAGTTATATTGTGTATGAAGGACATGTCACTCGATTCGTTCTGCAGTCTGCAATTCTAGTCATATTCATTGAAGATGTTATCGAGTTGGTTACCTACCTTGTAATGCGTGAAGATGTGTTGTTTCAGGACCGTCAGAAAAACTGGTGTGAAAACTTACGGATTGCTCCTCACCTCCAGATCCACATTATGCTGTTTAACAGCCCTTTTCATTTGTCGTTTAGAGCCACTCTTTCATAAATGCCGTGAGGAAGAATTGGGGTGCCAAACCTATTTCCCAACCGAAATATTCGGTTCTTTGTCTTGTTAGTTGGTTAATCTACATAGTAAAAGAAGTTTTATGTTTCAGCTGAGTTACAAATGGTGAGAGTGACAGTGTCGATAGTTTCGCACATTGTTTTGAATGTATTCCTCTACCAAACATTCACTTCTATACCGATGAGTTCCTCGCTAAGACTCGCATGGACACTTTCTCGACCTGCTTTATTTTTTGTTGTCCTTCATGAAATGGTTACGATAGCTTCTGAGACACACTCTCGTTACAGTAGTATCATTGTCTTCGTTGCCCAGGCATGTTTCAATTTCGATGTTCTCAATACGTTTTCCTCTAGGTTGTTTACTGTTTCAGTCTTCTGTCTTTCTTGCTAGCGTTAGCTGAGAGCAGGTAAATAGTGGGTATTATGGTAGTTAAATTGTGATATTTCAGAAAACACCGATCTGCGTTGATTTGTGCCATCTATTCTTTAAGTTGGTCATGCTCAATTCTGTTAGGAAATGGTTTGACCCTATCCCTCAACCTGTTTTTGGTTTTGATAGGAGTGGTGTTCCAAGTTAGCTCGCAAAGTATTATATTTATATTTGAAATAATTGAAAGATCTTATTTGCAGAACATTTACCTTTGCTTTCTTCATTATTGATATCTTTCGGGTTTTACTACTTTGGTCATTCGCCAACGTTGTCAGCAATACCTTGGCAAGCTGCATTCGTTGGACTTTCTGGAGACTTCCCATATCAAGCTTTACCAGCTCTTCTCATAATCATTCACATATGTATGGCTATCCCGCTCACTGTCTATTCACTTCATGCTCACCCAGCATTTTCCGAGAAAACTTTGATTTCACTTTTATCTATCTGTTCAATACGAGTATTTTTTATATGTGCAACAGTTGCATTACATAGTCGGCATTTAATGGTGTGGAAGATATTTGCACCCAAATTTATATTTGAATGTGTATCTTTCCTCTTTCTCCTAGGGACTCTTAATGTTTCTCTCATTTTATTCAGAAAATCTCCAAAAATATAAATATTTATAGTTATCAGAACATCAGTTAATCAAAAAAGTTATGTTGTCTCACAGCATGTTTCTCACATTTTCCTGAACCATAGCATCGGAAGCCATTCGGACAGCAACTGTTTTCACAACAAACAGCCTTAATTAGGGAATTAATCTGTTTTGCGCAAGAAGAGCACTCACATTCTGCAAAGGACAGCACATATGACTGATTACGTTGTTCTTCTTGGTTTCGCAACACGTTGTCAATGCTGGGCAATTCTTGTTCTTACCACATGGAACAGCTTTCAGCTCTTCTGGTAGTTCACTCTGAAATTTGAATGATAGGGAGTTGCTTTTTTTTCTCCAAACCTCATTATCTACAACAACAGGTGGATGGATATCAATAGCAACTTTCTGACGGATAGGGGTTGACGCGAACTTAGTAGACCAGTTTATGAGGAAGCCCTTTAAATATTGATGAGCACCTTAACTTCGAATCAAACTAACGGAATCGGTGGAACATCCTCCTTCAGCCACCTGACATTTCATTCCCTCTGGACAGCAGTGTAAACCGTCAGAACAGCAAGTAGCCTACAATGGGCATAGTATGAGATATTATAGTAAATTCTTACTTTAGGCAAAGGACAGCAACCGAATGAACCAGAAGACAGTTTGCAGCAGGTGGTTTCTGCAAAAAAATAAGGATCGAACACTTGAGAAAAAGTACCTGGTGGGCATTTGCTTCTTCTGTCGGGACAGATAACTTCTCTCAAGCTGTTATGCTTTTTTTGTATTGGTTTGATTTTATTGAGCCATCTGATTTCCGTTCCCTGAATTTGGAACTTTAGTCATCGTTCTCTTGGGTGTGGGAGGAGAGTCTGTTGATTTACAAAGGGCATTCCTACCTCTTCGCCTAGACAGCGTTCACGAGCGGCGTCACAAGTCATTCCTTCTGGACAGCAATGAAGCCGATCGCTACAGCATGTGGCCTGTACGAGTTTTTGATTGATTTATATATAAAATAGGGCAGGAATTCACATGAACAGTAGGACAACATCCATACGAGCCGTCCACGAGTAAGCAACAAGTAGATTCCTCGGGACAGGAAGTTACTCCATCGGGACACTTAATAGTATCGAGCTCATCCGAATAATAAGATAGCTATGAAAATATTGAATGTTACATAATTAATGAGAATAGGATTGAACCTCATTAGACTTTTCTACGTCTAAGAGACGTTTAGCAGGAACCTTCACGAGCCAAGGTGTTGATATAAACTGCAGAACATTATTTGAATGATTCAATCCATATTTATACTCATACCTGATTTAGGCATCGCTTATGTTGAACATCGCATTGCAGTCCTTCTGGGCAACAATGTAATTTGTCGGAACAACAAGTAGCCTAAGCATTTCAACATTCTGCAACCATTGCATCTGTAATAACTTACCTTAACGGATGGACAGCAGCCGAATTCATCTTCGCCATCCAAGACACAACAAGTGCTTTCTAAATTGAAGATTTAGTTCAATCTGTGTGAGAAGTATACCAAGAGGACAAGTACTCTTCCCATCCGGGCATAGCACTTCATCATCTACATATTCTACATGTACACCCTTAAACAGAAACGCGCGACGAGGATGATTTTGATTTGTTGTGATCTTACCTGACACACAGCTAACAAAGAGATAAATAAAAAAATAAACTTCATTTCTCCACACAGAAATGTGCTGTAACTCTATAAGCAAAGGAGTTTTTCCCAAAAAAAAGAGAACTACTGAAGCAAGTATCAGCCGAGCGACCTTATTCGTATGGAGCGATAAGATAGTGGAGCAGTATATGATTATTTATGAAGTTTTTGCTTTTCTACAACAAGTGAGAGGAAAACATCGTATATAAACAATTTATTACTTAAGTTAAACGTAGAGAATTCTCAACATATCGGTGATAATCAATGATAAAAGACGTTCCTCAGTCGTCAAATTTCTGCAAAGTGGAATCGATCGATAATTTTGAATCATAATTAAAGGTACCTTTATTTCATAAAGAGTTTTGATTACTTCACAGCATACAGAGTCCCCAGCATTGGATGAAATTAAATGGAAAAGTAATGAAGCATCTGGTGTGACGTTGATGAAGGTTTCGAAATGGTCGCGCTGTATATTTATGATTAGAATTTGAGTGGGTTTTTAATGACTAACCTTTTTTGAGTCTCCATCTTGGAATGAAGGACCTAATGGTTCATCAACACCAGCACTCTTAAGCATCCTTCTCATATAATCAATTCTGTTCATTCTCATCAGTTGGAAAGCCCAGAGGAAGGTATTGGCGACAGTAATCTGAACGTCATTTAGTTATGATAATGGGAGAATCGACTCACTGTAAATAGTACAACAAGCCAATAGAAAAGGATCAAAAATATTTTTTCGTTGAACATGTTTTGATTCAAAACACACTGAACTGAGTATCTTTGAACGTTTCCCTTATTTCTTATCTGAAACTCTTTCATATAGCTTTATTATAGAAGTACTTTCTTACATCGAAATCGCACATTGTAGACCGTGGGAAAAGACCAGTGTCTTGCCAATCACTCTCGAATCCAAATCGAAGGTCTGTTGATGTATGTTCGAATATAGAATTCAGTTAATCAAACGTACTGAAGAAATCGGCCCAATCGAATCCTAAGAACTTATGGAGAATGACCAACTGGAAGAGAATGTTAAGCAAGGATCCGGCTTTCATGGCGAAATAGACAAGTGTTACCCAAAAGTTGGAAGTGTAATTTTTCCTGCAGAGTTCATGAATATCTTTAGGCAAGTTTGTACTTACTCAAAACGTGAGAGAACAGCAATGTGTCTATTTTGGTAAAGGGTGTTCTTGATATGGTTGGTAATAGCTTTTATACTAGCGGCTCTTTTCTAAAAAGTAAGTTTACTTATCTTTCTGCAAGTAGCTCATTACGTCATCATCTTTAATTTCGGAACATGCTTTCACAATTGCTCTTACTTGCAAGCCTTAACACGAATTTCGTAATAAACGTTAAAGGATTCATGAAACTACCTGACCACCAGTTCAATGATCTCCATAGGACGTGAGGTAAAAAGAAGCCCAATGCTAGTAGAACGAGAACAAAGTTAACCCACTGTGAATGTCTTAGTTGCACGAATGTACGATAGTGTCAAGAATGAAACCTGATAGTATTGGAGCTTAGTCTCTTCTCGACTGTAGTGATCCGGCATGTTCGGATCATCCATCGGCACATAATATGTATTTTCAATTAAGCAGTACGATGTTGCATATTCAATCCAACCTTAAAACTTTTCTCCGAATGGATCAAACGAGCTGTATAACAAACCTCCGGCGAATTCCATAGGAGTCCAGCATGTTATGGGTTTTTGCATATAAGTCTATGTTAGTTTATATTTGCTATTAACGTTGAGTTGAAACATACATAAGTAGTAATTAAAGCTCCTGAGAGGAGAAATAGGAATGGAGTGTACTGAAAGTTAATCCTATCAATGAAGTCTTCTTCATGCCTAAACAAGAGAAAACGATAAACACAAACGTGTGAGTCAAGTAAGACAAACCTACGAGCTGTGATGGGTGTGATAACCCTAGTGATCAAATCCATCGATTACGACAGATCTACAGTCCTTACCTGAAATTAAATGAAGTTCCTTAATGATTTAAAACAAACCAATTGGTATTAGTAGTATGCAGACTGCTCAAACACTCTTATCACTGAGCCTGTAGGTTCATGGCTTTGCGCTACGTTCTCTCTTTCTCTCTCTCTTTGATCGAACTGATACCTCAGACGGTTCAATCTTTTATCTCTCTTTCTCTCTCATTCTTCAGTTTTCACTATTTCTTTCATTCTCTGTCTCTCCACCATTCAAAGTAATATTAAGAAAAGTGCGTAAGGTGAGAAAAGATGTAAGAGAAGGATTATTTAGTTGCTTAACAAGGAATGACAGAAGAGCATTGAATGATTCAGCGTGTACATATAATTCATAGTTATACGTTACAAGATGATACATCCACACATCCCACATTACGCATGTTCTTTAACATAATTTTTTTCTTTTTGTTTTCATGGCTCATACCGTTTGACTCATCTGATGTCTCTTTAGGAATTTTCGTTGTCATTCTCTCTTTCTCCTTTTCTATGTTATTCTCAGTCTCTTATATTTCTATCTAATCTACAATCTATAATGTTTCGTATATGAAAAAGTTTGCTGAATATTGAAACAAGCTATAGAAGTTCGTCTTATCATCTGAGTGTTCGTTTTTCTCTTTGTTTTAATATAATCATATCAGTTGACGAGACAAGAGGTCATTGCATGCATATATATATTTGTATACACATATTCTTCTTTTTTTTCCTTTTATGGGTTCATTCCTATTTTTATCAATATACACAAAGCTCTTCTTCATCATAAAAGAAGCTACAAGGCTTGATAAGATTATGTTCAGATTTCTGTCTTGTAAGCAATTATTGATAGTCAGCATGTATTCGAACATATTCCATAAATGATAACATCTATTTTTACTTTTTCAACTATTCAATCGTATCTATTCATTTACATTATTTCAGCTTCCACTTGGTAGAGAGGATATAGAGGATAAAGCCGACATCATGTTGGTAAATAATGTCAGAACATTTATATCGAATTTGAATTCAAAACATGATGATGATTCGACTGATCGTCTCAATTACGTGGGTTTCATTACTATATTAGCTTTGATGACTCAATCATATGTTATGTATCATATCTTATAGGTTATTACTAATTACATCTTACTAGTATGTGCTTCACTCATATTCGCAAACAACTATGTAGGCGAACCGTTGCAATGCTGGGTACCCAAGCAATGGAATGTATGTTCTCTTCAATTTACCTCATAATCATGTAATTTCTCTCTCTGTTCAGGGAGTTTGGGAAAAATTTTCGGAACAATATTGCTTTATTGAAAATACATATTTTACTTCAATGAATGATACTAACTTACCTGCTGAACATAGGCGAGAAGACAAAGAAATGATTTATTATCAGGTTCGTTCAAGCTTATACAATGCTTAATCGAATGTTCTCTTTTTTGAGTGGGTTCCTTTCATTCTTGTCTTAATGGCTCTCTTCTTCTATCTTCCACGTGCTGTTTGGAACATCTTTTCACGTTATTCAGGTGAGTATGGTTCTGTAGAAGCTATAGTACTACAACATCGTTTCAAGATTTGGCTGTTTCCGACATGATGAATGCTGCCAGACATTCTGCCAAAAACCTCAACCAGGATGTTCCATTCAAAGTTATGGCTACCAGAATAAACGTAAATCAGTTATAGAAACATCAACTATGCTACTGTTTATAGACTTGTAACAGTCGTCCAGCTCCTGTAAGCTCATTACGTTATAACAGCTCTCTCTTCAATTTGTACATTATCGTAAAAGTAAGTCAAGCATCGTATGCTGTTTGAAACAAACTAAAATATGTTCAGACTATGATTTTCCTTAACCTATTCATTCAATTCTTCTTCTTGAATCGTTTCTTAGGATCCCCTTACTACTTCTGGGGATGGGGAGTTTTAGGAGATCTTTGGGCTGGCCGTCAATGGCAAGAGAGTGGTCACTTCCCTAGGGTTCGTCTGTCAACTTGTTTGCTTATCATTACCGTATTAATATTTAGGTAGCATTTTGTGATTTGACTGTTAGAGAGATGGGTAATGTAAACAAATGGACAATCCAATGTGTTCTTATGGTATCATGAACTCATGTCTCCATTTTTCAAATGTTTAATTTAAGATTAACATGTACAACGAAAAAATTTTCTTTGCCATCTGGTGGTGGATGATGTTCCTTTTGATCATTACTGGTGTCAATTACTTGAGCTGGTTAATCAGAAGATTCTCAGTAGTCAATCGTCGTAGATTCCTTCATGCCTTATATGTATAAGAACCTTCATCAACAAAAGAGATAATTATCATATTATAGAGCTGTATCTTCGATAATGTAACCGATGAGAAACGCATAGATTACTTCTATAGTCAAGTTTTAAAGGTATATATCTAGCTTGATCGATGAAGTCTAATACTTTCCTTTCAGAACGATGGTGTCTTCATTCTTCGTCTACTCGATGCTAATGCTGGCCGTATCCACTCTTCAACATTATTCGAAGAAATTTGGAAGTCTCATGAATGTGAGTTACTCAAAGAATTAGCCTGTATTGATATTTTCATAACTTCAGCTACCTCAATTGCTCCAGACGAAGAATCACACGATGATAATGAGAAAGGACATCTCATAACGAAATAAGGTAAAGACACTGTAGCGAACAATTCATAACAACTGTGTTATTTCTACTTTTAATAAAAACTTTTATGACGACTGAACGTATCCTTCGAAGATATCTTTGAAATATTTGATTCATTTTACTGTCCATTATGATCTTGCTTATTTGAAAGATCCCATGGATCTCGCAGAAGCTTTTAAGAAATATGTGATGAAACTGGAAACCACATATGATGTGGATACGACTGATAGGTTAACTTCCTTTCTCTCTTATTTGCAATCATCAAACTCTTTCAGATTCAAATATACTTATACAACATGGATATTAACATTCTCTGCATTTGCTGCTTTAGCTTATGGTGTATTTGACAAACCAATGTCATGTTGGGTTCCTCAACAATTTCATGTTCGTTTCAATATCCATATGCTTCATCTTCTCTTTTCCAGGGTTCTTGGAAACAGTATGTTGAGAATTATTGTTATGTGGAAGGAACTTATTTTGTTCCAATGAATCTGACAAACTTACCTCATGTTGATCAGAGGATGGAAACAAAACTAAATTATTACCAGGTATTCAGAATCATCAGCATATCCTATTATATAAAGATAATCAGTGGGTACCTTTCATTCTCTTAACGTTTGCTGTCGTTACCTATTTGCCCCGACTTCTTTGGAAGCAAATCCAGTCTTTTCAAGGTACACTAAAACCTATAAAAATATTTCATTCATTATATATTTCAGATGTTAGAATCTCCACCATAACTGCCGCCTCGCGTAAGGATGCCAAAAGCCACTTATACACAGGTTCCACCTACGAACTATGTGATCAGAATAGAGCAGATGAAGTTCTGAATTTGTTCCGTAATATACCTCTGCATGTGTACGTCTCAATCTGATATTTTCTTTAGACAGGTGGAAAGCTGGAAATTTGTTGACAGCAACTTTATTAATCACCAAGTTTGTCTCGATAATAGTCATTATGGGTCAGACTGTCGCATTGGACTGGTTAGTTCACCTTTGAGTTTCGTCAGCTCGAAGCCATTAAGGTTTTTATCAGGAAAAATTTTCAACTTTTACGGAATCAGACTCTTTTACGATATTCTAGATGGGAGAGATTGGCGTACGAGCGGAGTGTTTCCTAGAGTTTGATCTTATCTTGGAACTTGAGTTCAATATGTTATTCAGACGACATTCTGTGATGTGCAAGTACGTGAAATGGCAGCCGTCCAAACATGGACTGTTCAATGTGTGTTGAAGGTTCAGTTCTGAAATATCTCAGTAGAAAACAAAAAATATACACCAGGCTAACATGTATTACGAGAAGCTATTTCTTCTCATTTGGCTATGGTACTTCAGCCTGACCATTGTCTCATTGATAAACTTTGTCAAATGGATATACTGGTCTCTACCATACAATCAAGTATATTTCTTACGAGACGTAATTGTAAGTTACATCGGATTGTTCTTCATAAAATGAAAATTCAATTTTTAGAAAATTTTCGACGAAGATGCCCCATTGGCAAAAGTTCAAAAGCTGTACCGTCGTTTACAGAGCGATGGTACAACAGTTGCAAGACTGGTCAAAGAGAATTCAAATTTATATAATGTAACTTGATTATAACATATAATTATTGTTGAAAAAACTAATTTACAGACAGCCAAGTTCTTGAAGCCGATATGGGATGCAATGGAAGATTTCAAAAATGATTAATAAATTCGATATTTGTAATGTTTTATAAAGATTATGATGCATCAGGAAGTTTACGAAGGAGCCATGTGACTCCTTAGATGAAAATCTGATAACTTATACTTCAATCATTTTGAGTTCAACTTCTTTCTCCAGGGAATATTTTTTAATTTTCCCTTCTTCTCATACTAACATTTCGCTTATAATGTTGTTCCAACCTAATTTGGTAGTGTTATTGACCGGATGTGGTAATTAGTGCATGTTGTCTTGTATTATCATGCAAATCCTCCTCAGCCAACTGTCCTTGTTCTCAGTCAAAACTGAGTGTTCACTTAGCTCTCCAAGCTCTCGTTTACCATATAAAGACAATAGATTTACATGTTACATTATAGCTTCATTTCCCTATTTCATTCCTTACTCTCCAATCGAATATTGACAACGTTTCTTCACATTTGCAACTCTGGATCGATTTGAGAACTTCTGATTACATTTCTTCTCTACTTTTATGTTACCATTTTCGGAATTTTCTTTCTTCCACCAGATTGTTATCTGAGCGTTTGTCCTAAATGGGCCGTTGGCTAAACAATAACACAATTACCAAATGCTAGTTGCTTTAGAAGAAAGAATTGCACAAGAAGCGAGAAGATGTCACTCCCTGTCTCAGATCTTCGAACTTATTGGAATTAAAAGAACCAAGCTTTTCGAGAGAGAGAGAAAAAAGAGAATCTCTGACCAAAGCTAAGGCAAGTGTTCGACGAATTCTTTTTCGTATTACTCTAGCTATCTACATATTCCTTTTAGAAATATTTATGTAAAGATTGTGAAGTTAATAGTATGACATAACATTCTGTGCGGAGATGAAATTTGAGATTTGTAAATGATTTTTCTTTTATCATCAGCTAATTATTCTTTATTCAAGTGTTTTTACTCGTTTCCTTCATGATGTCTCAGTCATTACGCATATCGCCTGAGAGCCCGGCTGATTTCTCAATTCAACTGTGTTCTCCTCAACGTCGACAAAAGACACATGGGCATATGCAGGTTGGACGATCCCTTTTCTTTTTTTTTGTTATTTCCATTTTCATCCAGTATTTCCCTATGCCTATCAAGTACTGCGCTTCCATTAGATCTAGTAAGCAGAGACGACATTTGATTAATGAACTACGAGGAACAACGTCTCATGAATCTGTTGTGAAATTACGGTGGCGACAAGTAGCCAGCTCAATAAGTTGTCATATGGCTTTCAAAGTATTCATTCCTTCAAATGAATCATGCATCATACGAATACCATTAAGGGCTATCAATCCGAATATCGTTTGACACCAGATTTCGGAGCATATGAAACTTGTCAATTCAGCTTGTCTCGCCATGTTTATGACTTATCTGAGGTATCGAAACAAGCATTACATTCATCAATCCAACACTCCAGCTTATATCAAGAGGAAATAGCGCTAAGAAGACTAGGTTACATTTTAATTCAACAAATGCCAAATGCCCTATAATGGAACTTCCAACAAGCTATACAGTAACACACTTTCGTGTTTTTTTGGGCACCTAAATCAACATTTGACATTTAAGGACTATATATCATGCAGTCTTATTGCAAATGAGTGGTATATACTTGAATGGGATTCTTCTATCCGTTATGAATCTTTCCGCAATGGATCATATGGTTTACGGCTTTTATGATACCAATATATATATATTTGTTTTTAAGGTAATTATTGGTCTAACTACTCAACCAATTTTGTCTTTCAACCCACTGATCAATTGAATCGCAATGGAACAGAAACCAAGTGGCTAAGTCGCCTCCTAACTATTGATACAAAGTGAGAATATGTTACAATTTTTTTAAAGCAACCGATAGCGTCTTGCTTTCGTTAATTAATGAATCTATTGCGTTCTGCTGATTTTCACGTGAAGCTGCTTACGTGGCAGCTTTACGTGGATGTGCAAGTGTCGTTGGAATATCGTCGTCAAGCAGGTCAATGTAGAACACGTGAAAGTACACGCAGATTGCTCTAACCAACAGCAAACCCACAAGAAAAGTTACATAAATGGAATTTCTGTAAAATTTTAAATTTGCATTTGCAATCGAGAGCTTGTATGTTCATGTATGTTTCTGTGAGATATCTCAGTAGAGCAATAATTCCTTATTTAATTTATATGCTAATTCAAACAGACAAAATACATTGCAATGTAATTGTAATTTGTCTCACGATAATACTGTCCCTTTTCAGAATTGAAGGATGTGACAAAGCCTCTGCATTAGTACTCTTAGATTCGTTCTGGCCACTTATATCAAAAATTAGTGTAGTTTACAGAGTTATACATCACAATACCAAAGTATTGATCTTTTAGTCTACATAGTTTGATCTCATATCATTTTCCAGAAATATGAAAAAGAAATTTTTTCAAACTACGTTGATAAATGGTCAAAAATTGATTTCAACCTTAACCCTTTGCAGGGAACACACGAGATATGTGCTCACGTAAGATCATCATGATGATGTAAACATGTTGTTCTAATGCAAATGTTTCAGTTATCCACAGCAAATATGCCAGTAATACGTCAGAAAATATGTAAAATTGTTATAGATGAGCTAGACTGTCCTTACAGCAGCTCTGCTTACTCTGTATTCTCCCTTATTGGTTTACTTACATGCTTCTTATATTTATAAATATTTTTGGAAAATGAAACTGTTGAATGGACGAATTTAAAGTAAAATAGACGATGATCGTTTTCAAAATCAAATTCATATTGATTTTCGAAAATCTTTAGGGAGCTGAAACTGAATGAATGTGTGTGGCATTAGTTGGATGACGGCCAGCAGACACCAATAAAATAGGGTAATAAAGACATTTCGATGGGCAGACTACGGAAAGTGAAGAGTGCACAGACAATCAGAATGGAGGGACAGTGAAATATTGTTATGATATCCTCTCTATTTCTCTTCAGTCTATGTACGAAACAAAGAAAGAAAGATAGAGAGAGATAGACTGACGACAGAGAGACGCTAGAGATAAAAAACAAAAGATATAGAGAGATAGAGAGGAAAAGAAAAAGAAATAAGAAAAATGATTGGTAAACCATATGAGAGAGCTAAGAAGGGTGAGAGACTGCATTGACCCTGCAACCATTATTCTGTTGTACTCGGAATTTCGAAGCTCCGTTTATTTCTTTTATTCTCTTGAAATAATATTTAAATTGTCTCTGTAAATCTGAACAGTAGTTTTTATAAGCTTTTTCGATAATATTTTTGGAATCGTTTCAAAAAAAAAAAAAAAGCCATGTAAGGACTGTGTCCTGTCCATTGGACACAAGGTCGATTGAAGGCCAGATCTTACATATGTTTCTGATATTTTAAAATCTTTCCATAATCGAAGATTAAAGGACTAATCCGTGTTGTAAATTATCATATTCTCTCATTTCCCTTATTTGTAGTTTATAGTTTTTACTCGGTTTCTTCTTCGCACTGAAGAATATCATTTTAAAAATGAGTCTGTTTGTCTATCTGCAATCTTTCCGTTCGACAATGAGACTTTGATGTTGCCGATGATCGGCTCTTGCCTCATATGCGGTCCGATGTGGGCTGTAAATCATGCTTCTGCCTCACCCTGTCCTCTAACTTTCTTTTCTCTCTCTTTTTCCTTCAAATTGTTCTAACTGTTCCCGTCTACCCATTTCTTCTTCTTCCTCTTTTTCCTCAGAAAAAGTAGTTTTGTTTTCTGTTTGTTTGATTAAGCGAATTTTCCGTTTTTTTTAAAAAGGCGTGACGGTTCTCTCGCCCCGCCCCAAATAAGGTTAGTCGTATTGTGTAAGCAAGTACTACTAAGCCTTATATATTCTGATCAAAGGACTAAGACTATATTGATCGATCGATTGATGTAAACGCCAGGAGTTAGCCATAAGGATGCTTACCAGTCTAATAACAGACCCTCATCCACCCTATGGCCTAATCTTCGCACCTACCGCGTCTTCTGGGGCGGCTACTATTTCATTGATAGAAAGAAAAAAGCCCTCGTAGAGCATTTTCCCAAATTAAGTGCCCAGTCGGCTTCTTTTCATTTCCTTTTTCAGCATCTTAACTTTACGTCATTCTTTTGCGCATGTTTCATCTTCCTTTTTTTGTCTTTTTTTGTCTTGTTTTTTTTTAATTTGCAGAGCCTCTCATTCATTTTCCTGTTCATTTAGTGCGAAGAAAAACTTTTTTGTATTTCGAATCTCTCACGCCTTCACTATTACTTTTCTTGTTTCATTTATAAAAAAAGTGTCCTATATGTCAACTTTTCTTTCATTCACTTCAATTTTGGCGCCTTCCAATCGTTTAAGATTTGAAAAGTCGTTGAAATCATTTTTTTTTCTGTTTCAGGAATTATATGTTGATACTAATATTATTTTATGCTGTACTCGTAAGTTCAGCCTCAATTTTTGATCAGGTTTGATAGTTCTCATTTGATTCTCTAATTATATTTCTGCTTTAAGACTTCCAAGAAAAAATGTGTTCCTATAACAATATCTTTGTGTAAAGACGCTCCTTATAACTACACTTTCTACCCTAGTTCTTTGATACAACAAGATTTCAAAAATGTGAGTTTGAAGAATGTTCAAAGTGCTCTTAAAGGTTGCAATAAGCGATGTGCATTGCATTAAGTGCGCTTCTGACTGCTTAATAACTGTATGAAAACAAAAAAATTGTATTTGCTATAGTCAGTAAGATAAGGTTCATTGCGTATCATCAACGTTTATTGCTATGTTCTCAAGCTTTATGAGGTAAAACAATTTTCTTTTCTATTCATTCATGAATAGAAGAATCAATTGTGAACAACCGCTTTGTGAGTCTGTCTTTCTAGAAATAAAGCCTCTTCAACAACCGTAATTTGAATTTAAAATTTAACGTCGCGATAAAAGGTGTCAATGATGCTTGATAAGTAAAATACAATGAAAGAATGCTTTTATTAGATCGTTAAAATCCTAATATGGCTGCAAGTTTGCTTTTTATGAAACCATAAGGCATACCGTGTGCGAAAAACAATTTTTATTCATTCTTCTGTTTTTCAGCTCAATTCACAAATCGATCACTTCAAGCCTCTGATCAAGACAAAATGCAATCCGAATATTCAATTCTTTATCTGTTCCGTGTTTGCTCCGATGTGTCCATTGGATCTTCCACAAGCGGTCAGAAGTTGCCGATCAGTCTGTCTCGAGGTAAGCTTTTCTAAATCGTTCAAACCTTGGGATTTCGTGTCTTCACTGTCGTCATCTGTTGCATCTGTCGCATGGAACATCTGTTGTAACGATAACGTTGAAGACTTTTTGATGATGTTCACGTAGAGTTCATCATTTTTCGAATCAGTCGCTATCATTAATATTATAATTACACAAAAACGCTCTTTGCTCGTTCGAGTGACGAGAATGTTCCTTTTTTCATCCATTTTCTGACAGCAATCTAGATGGGATTCTCAAGAAAAAAGAGACTTGATGCTTATTAAAACAACATAAAATTATATTGTCATAGTGGCCATCTGCTCTTTATTTTTTTTGACGGAGAACACCTGTTATTCAACAACTCTTTTAGGTCAAACGGGATTGTCAGTCTATTTTGGATGAATTTAGTATTGAATGGCCGGATATTCTGGACTGTGCTAAATTCCCAGAAGAGCCTGACCTTTGTATGAAACCAGCGGAAACAAAGCCAGCAAGCACATCACCTTCCTACCGTAATGGAGCAGGAGTTCGAAGACCATATTTCGTATCTTCATGTCCTGAAGATTTACTTGATGTAGATTCCAATGATCCAAAAGGAACTTGTGCTTACAAATGCGGAGCAGATGTTATGTTTAACTCAGAGAAAAAAGTAAAGCACACTGATCCAATTGACTTAACAACTCAAATATTACAGGCAGCTGCTAAATCTTGGATGATCATGTGGGGAACCGTCGATTTGTCCATTAGCTTGTTAACCTTCTTTACGTTCCTTATTGACAGAAAACGTTTCCGATATCCTCAACGGTATTGTGTCTTGTTTTTTCTTGTTTTCTTACTCATTATGTCTTCAGGTGCATATGTTATATGGCCTTATGTTATCTGATGCATTCCATTCCGCACGTGTTTCCATACTTCTGGTCTTATGCTCAAAGAGCTTGTGACAAGTAAGCTACACACATCTCATTATATCTATTCATCTATGGCTTCAGACTGGTTAATGGACATACATTCTTGGTGTTCTCCGGGATTGAGAATACAAACTGTTTGATGTCTTTCATTTTAACTTTTTATTTTGGAACAGCAAGTACATTTTGGTGGCTTATGTTTGCCTTCACATGGTTAGTTCTGCTCAATGTTAATGGAATAAGCTTGTTCCATTTAATTACTCCTATCTTCATTTGTTACTTATCGGCTAAAATAGTTTTGTATAGAGAAAGACGACTAAATTGAATACAATTATTGAGACAAGCAGAAATTCTCTTGACTTGAGTCATTTTCATGCAAAAAGCGATACTTAGCTCTCATCTAATTATTCGTCTAAAGCTACTCCTTTTGTCCCAGTTTTGCTACTATCTTGTTGACAAAAGGGGTTTTTCTATATTTTCTTCTCTCGGAACAATACTCATTACTATGTTTAGGTATTTATCGGCTGGGAGAAAATGGGTTCCTGAAGGTGTCGATGCTTGCGCCAGCTACTTACACTTCGTTGCTTGGGGAGCTTCAGCTGTGCTCACGATTATTGTACTGGTGCTAAGAAGAGTATGTTGTCGATATTAAGGCATGTCATGTTATTTGCTTTTTAGGTTGATGCTTCCGAACTGTCTGGACTATGTGGAGTTGGTCTCCTACATCCAAGCTCTCTACTCACGTTCTCAATAATACCCCGTTTGTCACTGATGGTCGTGGGGGTTATCTTTATGTTATGTGGATTAGCTAGTATGTGCCGAGAAAGAGAGAGTTTCCGTCGTCGGGTACATTGATCCTTCCCGAATGTGTATTCATAAGTATGTTTAGGGAACTGATACTTCAAAGCTCGAGAAACTGATGATTAAAATGCTATTGTTCTGTGTTTTATATCTGGTACCTTCTGTCACGGTTATTGTTTGTGACTCATATCATTACCTGACCATGATGAAATGGTATCCAGTGACAATCGGCTGTAAAGAATATGGCGGCATGACGCAAGCAAAATGCACCCGTCCCGCAGATCCAACGGTAAGTAGCTCTTCATTCCACTCTGCACAGTATACATGCCCTCATTTAGGTTGAGATCTACTTCGGTGGCATAATGATGTCCTTGATGAGCTCGATCTCCTGTTCGATATGGATACTTTCTCGCAAATCTCTACAATCATGGAAGCATCTCATATTCTGTGGATTATGTGGATCTGCGCCGCAAAAACCACAAACTTCCTCAGGAGCTGCTTCGCGTCCTCTGTTGGAGCCTCCAACCGCACCTCCACCACATCCTCCTTCGTCTCATTACTTACCGATGTCCACTCATTCACATAATATCTGGAAGACATCTAAAGTAGTTTAGAAATTTCTGATTTAATATTTTAATTCCTCGAACTGTTTTGAACGAACTAATTTGTATAATGAGGAGTCTACTGGACTTAAAACTGTAAATTTTGCTATCAATTCGCGGATCTTTGAATTTTAAATCTTTTTTTGTGTCTCATTCCATCATTATATGATTTCTCTATGTCCAGCTTTATATATTTTTGAAATGTTAACTCTACCATGTTTGTTACAAAAAGAGAAATTATTTCATGATTAGCGTCTGAATATGCGGGTTGATTGCCATATATGAGCATCAATTTTTCTAATAAATATTTCATTATAAACTTTCAAATTTGTTTTTTTCTCAACAAATGAGGGCAGACGATAACAAATGAACGACCGCTAACCATATGTGAAGAAAGGAATGAAAATGCACGAAATTTTTTTCCCAGCTGGTAACGTTTTCATTTCTGCCGCTTTTTTAAATTTTCGGTTGTTCACATTGCTTACTGTCTCTTGAATCACTTGAATAATTGCTGTTCTCAAAAAAACAGCAAGAAGTCTGTTCCAAACCTCACTCACTCTAATGTTCTACAAGAAGCAAAAATTTTAAACTCTTCAAAGTTGAAACTTCTTGCATTTCTTGAAAGATTACCTTTTCGTAGCGATCACACTTCCAAATAGCTCTGAGTATGAAATAGGTGCGCCGTGCACCTGGCGTGTACAATATCTGACTCGGCGATACCACTTGCACGCTGTTTACAAACGGCTAAACCATACCAACGTTGGGCTTTAATTCTATTGTAAATTTAATAATTTAATTCTTATGTTTTGAACCTTCGAGTTGTGACTCAACGAAATCCACCAAACTGCGTCTTCAGCCAAAATCAATTTCTACTAAGAGAAAAGTTTTTTCTCACAATTTTTCTCCCATTTCTTTATCTGTTTCACAAAATTAAGAAGAGTTAACTTAATAAACTTAAGTTCGCTAATAAAAGCGATTACTCTCGTTGCATTGTTAAGCTTATTGGGAATATATGAAAGAAAGTACTATCGAACACATAGTTTCAATAAGTCAGCTCGTTTCGTCGTTGTTATTACTTAGTCTGTGGTTCGAAGAAGTATGACTCCTTAATGTCCTTCCTTCTTGGAATATTCCAACCATGTATAACAAAAAAGCGAAAGTTACTAGAAAACTTCTGGTCGCAAAATGTCGTTTATATTATAGTTCCCCAAGTTTACCAATATAGGTCTTGAGACGACGCCATTCCAATGCGGTCAGCTTGCAAGCGTTTATTCATATTTTGAAATAATTTTCAAAAGTATTCCTCCTTCTTACCATCCCATCCATGATGAGAATCATAAAAGGTTCTTAGTTAGTGCAAGTGAAGTCAATACTTTTAGGTTTATGTTGTGAAAATTGGTCATGAAACACAAGTTTTCGAGTAATAATGAGCGAAGTTCAGTCATTAGTATGTGAATATGACGATACAATCGATAAACTCGAAGATAACCTAAGAAAAGTAACTGTTCCGGGAGGAGTTATGTGTGTTATATTTTGTTCAGGAAAGAAGCATGTTAGCTTCTGAAAAAAAGGTACCCAAAACACGTTTGAATTCAGTTAGTCGTAGTCTGAACTTAGTGAAGTGTTCAATTAACACTAATAAAACCCCTGAAGATGAAGACGTTCAAGCCCAGTAAAACGGCGTTAACGTTTGCCATATGAGAAAGTTTTGTTGCAGAAATCCCAACCCAAAAGATGATAAAAACAATGAAATTCTTAAAGTTACAAGAAATAGTAAAAATGTTAGCTTCTTTATCATTCTACTCGCTTATTTTCTTCGAATTCTCTCATTTTTTCGTTTCATTTCAATTTATTTCAGACACCAAAGACCAAGTCTCATAGCTTGCAAGAACCAACCAAAAAATCAAAATCGGTAAACCGTATCTTCTGATCCTTACAATTTTTCATTCAAGTCAAAGAGAACCACAGGAAATTCAACAATGAAAGCCAATGAAGAGACTGAAAGTGATTCGGAGTATGTTTGTTAAATCTTTCAATGAATTTTATGCCTCTTCTAGTGAAAGTGTGGTTGACGATGAAGACTTCGAGATTCAACAGATGATTCGTGAAGAGAAGAAGAAGAAGAACACCAAGAAGAAAAGTACTCCTAAAAGCTCTAGCAAAGTTTTCATTGGGAAGTTACAAGAAGTTATTATAAATATATACAGGGAACAAAATCTAAGAGAGGAAAACAGAGTGATTCGGATTCTGATATTGATAAACTTTTGGAAGAATCGAAAAAAGTTTTACTTGGATCCCTAAGACCCAGGAAGAGTAAGCCATTCCACTTCCACTTTTTCCTAAGATTTTTGTTCAGGCTCGAATGTTGAAGCTTCAGGATCGAAAAGAAAACGTTTATCAACTCCATCCTCAGAGAGAGAGGAGTTGTCTGATAAAGAAACTAATATTGAGAAAACTCCTACTGCACGGAATCGTGGTCCAACGAAAGACAAAAAAGTTAAATTAACTGAAGAGAGTAAAAAGGAAGATGAAGATAGTGCAGCTTCTGGAGCCTCTGGAATCTCTGATGCTACTGAAGGATCAGAAAAGTGAGCGATTTGAATAGATGTTTGAAAAAAGATGTCGTTTCAGAGAAGAACTATTGCGTAGTCGCAGGAAAGGAGTCTCTATGAATGTAAGGGCTTTCTGAATTTTATTTCTAATTCTTCATTTACAGGAAACAACTTCAGCGTTGATTCGTAGATCGAAAATGTTGTTGTCATCGGATTCTGAAGACGAAATCAAGTTTGCGAAGAAGAAAAAGAAAAGGTTTTGCATAATCATGAGAAATATTGGTTATTCTCTTCAGTAAAAATAACTCAGACAGTGATGACAAGTCAGTTTCTGGCGGTGAAACCAAAAAGCAGAAAAAGGTCTGTCGTTATTCTCTTTCCAACATAGCAGTTCTTACAGAAAGTCATCGTGGATGATTCGGATGAAGATGTGGAGAAGGAGAAAACTAAGAGAAAAGGAACAAATAAGAAAATGCTCACGAAAGATCAACTTGCCAAAGAGACTGTTGATGCAGAAAAAGCAGAGAAGGAAAGAAGAAAACGCTTGGAAGTAAAACAGAAAGAATTCAATGGTATACAGTTGGTTGATGGAGTAGATTTGGCAACTGCTCTGAAAAGTTCTTCAAACGTTCCAAAACTAAAAGTGAGTTCAACACAAAAAAACTGAAAAAGTTGATGATTTCAGTCAGTAGTTCTTGATCCAGATAAAGAAAGTGTAAAGCCTGAGCCGGTTTCTGTACATCCTTCTATTGTATGTGCTTCTGGACCTCTCAAACTTTACTTTGTTGTTTAAGGTTCGAGTGTTGAAACATCATCAGGCTGAGGGAGTTCAGTTTATGTATGATTGTGCGTTTGAGTCTATTTCACGGTTGGACCAGGAGGGAAGTGGTGGAATATTAGCGCATTGTATGGGTTTGGGTAAAACTTTACAAGTATGTAGCGACATCGTTTGATACGTTATAGTGCCGATTTCAGGTGATTACATTTCTTCATACTGTGATGAACCATCCGAAGATAAAGCAAAAAGTGAAAAGAGCTCTCGTGGTTGTTCCAAAAAATGTAGTTATCAATTGGTTCAAAGAGTTCAAGAAATGGCTTGAAGATAATGACCCTGCGCTGGCTACTCTACAAGTGAGTGTTGAAACTTGTTTTGTGAATAAAAATGTCTTTATTGAGGTATTGGAATTAGATTCCTTCAAAGACTATACTGATAGATTATTTGCTCTGAGGAACTGGTATAAATGCGATGGTTTGGCTCTTTTTGCATACCATTTGCATATCTCATTTTTAGTTCCAAGTATAATGATTATTGGCTATGACATGTTCCGAATTCTAACCCACGATGACGATGACAACAAGAAGAAAAAAGTTGCCAAAACTAAAAAGAATAAACGTCTCGCAAAGCTGCAGAAAGACTTTCGAACATATTTACAAGATCCTGGTATTAATAGACCAATAGTTTCTTTCTTAGTTCTATGAGCTTCAGGTCCGGATATAATAATTTGTGATGAAGCTCATAAGTTGAAGAATGATGAATCCGCTTTGTCTAAAACCATGGTGAAAATAAAAACCAAAAGGAGAATCTGTTTAACGGGAACTCCTCTACAGAACAACCTTATGGAATGTAAGTTACTACTACTAATCACATCTAATTTGCTCGGACTTAAGATCATTGTATGGTTAATTTCGTTAAACCAGGTCTGCTGGGTACAAAAGCAGAGTTCGCCAATAGATTTGCCAACATCATAACACGGTTCGTGTTTGCACTAAACTGATCTTATTTGCAATATTGTAGGGGAAGAGTTAAAGATGCGACGCCCTTGGAAGTAAAATTCATGCAGAGAAGATGTCATGTTTTGTTCGAACATTTGAAGAAGTGTGTGGATGTACGTTTGGAGCTTAAGTCCTCTTTTTATCTCGAACTACTTACAGAGAAAAGACTATAGAGTGTTGATGGCTGCTATCCCTCCCAAACAGGAGTACGTCATTAACGTCAGGTTGACTGATCGTCAATGTCGACTCTACAAGTATCCATTCAACATGATACGCTTGATATCATATATTTCAGAGCTTTTCTGGAGAGTATCGTGAATCCAGAAGGAACTAACGGGTTATCCAAACGTCTCTTATCAGATTATTATGTTTTATCACGGGTTTGGACTCATCCTCATCAGCTCCTTGTGCATGAGGAAAAATTAGAAAGAGAAGTAGTAGTTGAAATGAATACATCCTTAAAAATATTATATTCAGCGTATATTAAAAGACGAATTGGAAGAAGAAGAAGAGTTTATTAATGATGATGAGAGTGAAGAGGAGGCAGTTGAAGAAAGTGGAGAAGATTCTGATGTGATTGCATTGTCAGTTTACAACATTTTACATACTGTAGTCTAAGCTTTTATTTTTAAGAGATGATGAAGATTCAAAAGACACAAGGAAGTCTCGGAGGTTAGGGGGACAATCCCCCGAAAATGAAGGAGTGCGGAGCGTAGCCGAATATTCTGGGTGGTAAGTCACCTTCATAATATAGTTCTATTCTGGTTGAAGGTTTGCTAAATCTGGACTAGTCTCGGCTGAAGATAAGGAAAACTTTACTTTGAGTAATAAATTGATTCTGTTGGTATCCATTCTCAAGAAATGTGAAGAAATCGGTGACAAATTGTAATTATTGGTCCGTTCTTGATTGTAATTACTGTCAATTTCAGACTCGTGTTCTCTCAGTCTCTTGAGTCTTTGACTCTTATCAAAAAAATGCTTGAGCATTTACAAACAACGGATAAATGGTTTGCAGACGGGCATGAAGCTGTCAAATCTGAAGGAGAAGTGAGTGTATACTACTGATAGCTTTATCATTGGCTTACATTAGACCTGGGGTTGGACAGAAGGCAGAGATTACATGGTTATCGACGGATCAGTGCAATCAGGCAAACGAGATGCTGTTCAATGTAGCTTTAACGATCCCGGGAATCTGAGGGCCAGGTTTCAGAACCTCTTTCAGCAATTCACATACAATTTCCTGTAGATTGATGCTTATATCTACAAAAGCTGGTTCTTTGGGTACTAACATGGTAGCTGCTAACCGTGTAATCATATTTGATGCTTGTTGGAATCCATCACACGACACTCAATCCTTGTTCCGTGTTTATCGGTTCGGTCAGACTAAACCTGTGTACATATATCGTTTCATTGCTCAAGTATGATCTGAAGCAAAATTATTCTTCCAAATGGCTTTTTTTTCAGGGAACCATGGAAGAGCGAATTTATAAAAGACAAGTAACTAAGGAATCTACTTCTATGAGAGTTGTCGATGAAGCACAAATTCAAAGACATTACGAGGGTAATGATCTCTTGGAGTTGTATAGATTTGATGCTGAAGAAATCAAAGAAGAAGACAAAGATAAAATTCCTAACTTCGCTCCACCAAAAGTTTGTTTTCATTATTCATCGTAAAATTATAATATATGAAATTAGGACCGTCTCTTAGCTGATGTTCTTCTCAATGAGAAAGCTTCAGTTGTGAACTATTTCCAACATGACACTCTCTTTGCTCATGTTGAGGAAGAGAAACTCACTGAAGATGAACTCAAAGAAGCATGGGTTGAATATGAGAAAGACAAGGTGATATATCGTTCCTTCTATATCTCGTTCAATAAATGTCTTTACAGCTACAAGCTGGTCGACCAATACCACTTGTGGGTCCAAACATGTTACATATGCGAGCTCTCGATCTTCAGAAACAATCTGAATATCTCATGAACATTGTGAGTGGTACTCTAAGAATATGCAATCAAAACCTTGTTATAGACCACACATACGCTTACTCAAGATCCTATATTCATAAACTGTTTTGTAGTTTTGGGAATGGATAATGACACGGCGTTAAAGGTGAAAGCAAAATCTCTTCGGAGTAATAAGATTATGTTCCAGATTTCATATTTGAAACGAGTGTTAGAAGATTTGTTGCCACAAATCCCAGATGAAATGAGGGGAGGCATCGTAGAATTTAATTCATTCTTCCTCAATTTCATTACCGTGAGTAGAGATCCAATATCTCTTATAATATATTTATAATATTGTAGCAAGCTTGTGAAGAAAGACACAACGCCAATTGGTTACTTAACAAAGCCGTCGCCACTTTCCGCACTGTGGTTAGGATGATAAGAAATATTCCAAGTTGTCGCAATG